TCTCTCCCTCTCTCTCTCTCTCTCTCTCTCTCTCTCTCTCATACATTGGTTATCTAGTTGACCAATGGTCTGAGGTTGTTGTACTTTCCTTTTCAGACAGGGTCTCATGTAGCTGGCTGAGCCCAAACTCACTATGTAGCCCAGAATGACCTTGAACTCCTGATCCTCCTACCCCCACCTCCTGAGTGCTGGAGTTACAGTTGTGTCGCCCAGGCCTGTCTTATAACTGATGCTCTTGATAAAAGAATTTAACTTTTTGTGCACAGAAAACAAATTATCTAAATACCTTCTGGCACTAATAATAGTGCATTAAAAGATGCAGCGTTTCCATATTCCTTAGCAGCATTGTTCACAACAGCCACAGGATAGGAGCCACACATTCTACAACTACTTAAAGAGAGCATCTTATCAGGTATATACTGATTTGTCACTAGTGATTTTTGTTATAGTTCTCAAAGATCACACAATAAAAACAGGCTCAGTAGCCCTATCTGAAACCCTTGGGACCAGAAATGTTTCAGATGCTGGAACATTTCAGATTTTGGAATTACTTGACTGCACAGACTTCATGTCAAGCATTTCTGAAAAACAAAACAAAACAAAACCGAAATAACAAAACAAAACAAAAACCCTGAAATACAAAATGGTTCAAAATTCAACACTTGGGTTTTAGAGCATTCCAAATTTCTGTAAGAATTTCCAACCCATGCCTGGCCTGGGGCCACTGTAGTTCAGAATCTGTCATGACATTTGCTTGAGATATTTGTTAGTTGGCACAAATAGTTAGCAGAGAGATTCTAGTAAGGGGTGGCAGACAACTCAGCTTCTGGAAGCCAGTGTGTCACAACCAACTAGGGACCGGCACTCCTGGTCCATCTGGAAATCTACCTAGTCCCTTGCCTTGAGAAGCTAGGACACTGCTGTCATCCTGGCAGTGACTGGCTGGTCTTCGTTGAGCATACCCTAGAAATGTGGACAAGACAGAGGGGTCATTAACTTTTAAAAGCAGGTGTGATTTGAACAAATGGACAAAGTCTGGGACTCTCACTCAGACCTAACTCAAAATGTCCCCTTTCCTCCTCTTTGCTACGTCAAAGGCACTAGGGCCAAAAGGAATGAAGTAGGGTTGTTCTTATCTAACTGGATCCTGAAGTCCAGCAGAGAGCCAGCAATGCATTAAAATAGCCAGGTGGTGGTGGCACTTGGGAGGCAGAGTTAGGTAGGACACAGGGTTCAGAGGCTCTGAGCTGGATGTGACCTGAAACCCTCCTCTCTGAGGACTAGCTTTCATAGTACCTGAAGGTGCTGTACAAGCTGCCAAGGGAGGAAAGTCACCAGAAATCATACCTAGCTGTCAGACCTAACAAGCCAAAACAATGACCAACCATCAGGGCAAGGGATTCCTCAGGTGCAACAGTGATGATGTGCAAATCTTGGCAGTGACCAAGTTATATAACTAGACTTAAGCAAAAATGGCCCCCAAGCTCAGAACGTGGTACCAGCCAAGTGATATCAGTAAGTCACCAACAGTTAAAAAAAAAAAAAAAAAAACCTGTGGAAATCCACAAACAGTTCTGTGGGTAAAGGCACTTGCCACCAAGCATGACAACCTGAGTTCAAGCCCTGGAATCATGTTGTGGAAGGGAGAAATGACTCCCATAAGCTGTCCTCTGACTTTTGCACACATACACATAATAGATAAATATTTTTGCTTTTTAAAGAAAACAGGAAGGAAGGAACTCATGAGTTGCTCCAGAACAAAGTCAGCCAATCATGGCCTGTGTGTAAGCTGAACCTTTCGGAGAATTTTAAACAGCAGCACAAACAAAACAAAACCCTAAAACCAAGCAATCCAGAAACCAGAAATATTAAACATTATTTGAGCAGTTATACATATGTAATATGTATCAGCCATGGCTAGTTTTATATGGCAACTTTAGAGCCAGGTATTTGTACAAAGACTCAGGACCTGTAAAGCCAGAGTTTGTATTTGCACCTTTACAGGGAATCCTGCAAATCTCTGCCCTAGCCTGAAAGGGTCAATCAATAGATAACAACATATCTTTCAAGACAGGGTTTCTCTGTGTTAACTGTCCTGACTCTCACTTTGTAGACCAGGCTTGCCTGGAACTCACTGAGATCTGCCTGTCTTTGCCTTCCAAGCGCTGGGATTATAAGTGTGTGCCACCACTGCCTGGCCTATTTGCACAATATTTTATACAACAAACTCACATAAAAAATTTGAGCATTTTGATGTAATCTGCTAAGAGGTAATAATGACATTGTGCTCCCAGAAGAGAATGCTCCTTCTTTGGAGGCACAAACCTAATTATTTAGAGAAGAACTGTTATACTATCTAGAATAAACTGCTTTTAAAACATTTTTTTTTTCCTTGCAGTTTGAGGATAAAACCCAGGACCCTGAAAACGTGAGGCAGGTGCTCTAACACTGAGCTATATTTCCAGTCTCAAATGAACACACAATGGGGAAAAGAACAGAAGCATGCTATCTATTTAGTGGCTATCTGCAAGTTCATTAGATAATTCTATGCTTTCACATTTAGTTAAAAGTTCTTCAACTAAAAAGGAAAATCAGAACCTTGATTTAAAAAAACAAAACAAAACAAAAAACCCAGAACTTGTCATCAGAGAGCCTTTCCTTCCTCAGTCCAATCTGGTTCAGCCTTCCCTACGCCCAGGCTATCTCAACACACCTGTTGGCTCTTGCTCTTTCTGAACATAGTTTCATATATTCATCATGTCTTCTGCTCATGGTGTCTAAAACCAGGAATGCCATTGTCCCAGTCCTCCATAAAAAGTCACCTTCTGCTTAAGGTTTAGCCCCAAAGGCCTTTGCTGCACACCGCTCCCCGATCCCCCCTCCCCCCATGGCCTTGTATTTCATCCTTCCCACATTCGTGATACTGTCTATTGACTCATGACGCCATATAAACCCAGAGACTTTGAACTAGCCTTTTCTGTGATCTCAGTTGACGGAGCGTACCAACACCTCACACAGTACCTGCATAGCTCTGAGTTCCGGGGGTTGGGCCTGCAATCTAAGCATGGTTGCCTTTTCAACAACACAGAGAAGATGCATTTGTGAGCCAAGACGCTGGGTAGCCATGCTTAGCTCAGGTTCTCTGAATAAAATTTCCATTATCTATTGGCTCCAGATGGGGAGTGTTCTACAGAAGACTGCTACGATCATTTGATGATGTCCTCCCATGGGCCATTTCCCTTTGAACATGCCGGCACTAGTTTATAGGGTGGAGGGGAGGGTACAATGAAAAGCTATGCAGCGATTATTTTTCAAACAACTGGACTTCTCAAAAGGTCTTACTAGATGAAGAGAAAACATTGGGGGTTATTGTTTGATATAAGGTTGATATTGTTTGATATAAGGCCAGGATGGCCTCCTTCAGTCTTCTGAGTGCTAGGAAAAAGCGTGTGGGGGACCTTGATGGATTCCGTGGCAGGCGAGGGCGAACTCGGCAGAAGGACAGACATGTCAGGGAGACAGAGCTTAAGTGAGAAGTTTTATCAGAAAGGGGAGGGGGAAGGAGAAAAGAGGTAATGAGATACAGAGACAGAGAGAGGACAGAAGAGTAGGAGGAGACAGGAGAAGTCCTGTCTGCCCCAGGGGAACAGCAAGAAAGAGTGGGAAAGAGAGCCTAAGGAGGAAGAGGAGGAAGGCTGTCTTTTAAAGGGGTCCTTTGCACCTGGGCTGACCAGGGTACTGCCTGAGGTCATAGGAGCAGGCCAGCATAATGCCCGAGTCCTTACACCGCGTGCTAGGATTACAGGCATAAACCACCACACCTGACTTGAACACATACTTTTTAAAATTAACTATTGCGGGGCTTCGGTTCTGTACTACACACTGCCGTCCAACATTATCACAAAAAGCCATTAGTAGGATTCTAGATCACCACCTCACACATAATAAGGTGGCATTTTACCACCGAGCGACATACCCAATCCCAACTTTGTTTTCCAGTGCTGGAGATCCAACCTTGGGATTTTGTGTGCTAAGGTCATGGTTAGTAAAGTTTACTAGTTAAAAAAAAAAGTTCAGTATAAAAAAGCTACTAATTAACTTGACAAACTAAGCTTTTAAAGACAAAAATTCATTGAGGGAAGGCTGGCCTTCTTACTCAGGGACTTCTGGCTTCTGGGAGTGAGTTCACTCCCAGCAGCACTTCAATTACAGGAACCTGGCCTTCAACTAGAGGAAAATAAGCACACGTGTGCACAAGACTTACCTCTCAGAGGTAACTGATTCAAAGATAACTTTTTTTTTTTTTTTTTTTTTTTTTTTTTTTTTTTTTTTAACTCACGGTTTCTTACTGGGGCCGTCAGCCTACTTAAAATAAATAATAAATAAGGCTCCTGCTCTAATGTTTTTCCTTATTCCATCGACGTGAATAAACCGAGCTTGGAGTTAGAAGCTAAGTTAAAACGTGTGCGCACCTCGGATGCGGTTTGAGTGAGGCTACGCCGCCGTCACAACTCGGCTGAGAAGAGAGGAAGGCACGGCGACGATAACCAGGAGCAGAATTAATTCAAAGGCAAGGATCTCCAAAGACCCCAGACGTGACGTGTTTGCTACCAACGGCCCGAGCGTCCCAGAGATCGCAAGCTGGCTCGGGGTCGGATCCCTTTGCAAGTTTTGGTGTCTTCACACATCACAAGGCACGCCTAACACGAAAAACGCCGAGCTTTTGGAACACAGCCCCATCCGCTGGGGACCTTAACTACCTGCAGGAGCCATCGGGCCCGGAGCTGGGGGAGCTGGGGCTCCGCTCCCGCCAGCGTCCGCGCGGCTCCCGCAGCGCCCAGCGCGTGGGCCGTCCCGGCGGTTTTCCGGGGTCAATCGCGCGCCCCGCCCCGCGGGTTCCGCCCGCCCGGCCCCGCGTCTGCCCGGACGCCGCTCCGCAGCCCTGCCCGCTCCCCAAGCCGCCCAGGCTCCCAGTGCCAGCAGCCGGCTCAGCACCTCACCTGCACCCGGCCAAGAGGATCGCCGGGAGCGCGCCCGCCCGCGGAGCGGAAATGCCCAGCGGGGCCGGCACCACCACCAAACCGCCTGGGGCGGCGCCCCCTGCAGGCCGCGCGCCGCTCCTCCCGCCCCTGCGGCGCCCTCTCCTTACTGCACCGGCCCCGTGCACACCTGGACGGACGCGTGCACGCCTCTGCCACACCCGCGCACTTAGCTGTCTGACACCACCTTCCTCTGAACTGAAGGAGAGCGCCCCACCCCCGACACAGACAGGCAGACAGACAGACAGACAGACAGACAGACAGACAGACACACACACACCCCTGTGCTGGACGCAAACACACCCGAAACCCACTACTTGAGAGAGACTCATAAACACTAAATTGGACACACACCTCTTTACATAAACCCTGCGGTGACTCTAACCTCAGACAGATCTGAGGAAGACGCCACAGGACAGTCATGCATCACCAAGGTCCCACAGCTCCTCATACACACCCCTACTGGATATAGGAGAGGCAGCCATTGTGCCCACTTAGCAACTCTTTTTTTGTTGTTGTTTGTTTTTCGAGACAGGGTTTCTCTGTATTGTTTTGGAACCTGTTCTGGAACTCGCTCTGTAGACAGGGCTGGACTCGAACTCACAGAGATCCACCTGCCTCTGCCTCTTGAGTGCTGGGACTAAAGGCTTGCACCACCAACGCCCAGAGGCAACTCTTCTTACATTAAAACTTGCTTAGGAGCTAGTGAAGGGACTGACTTTCACCTGTATCCTATCCCTAGCACTAAGTGAGAGCCAGAATAGATGGATGAGAAACAGAAGCCGAGGGAACGTTTTTTTTCTCCAGGGACTTTAGTCATAGTCTTTGTAGGCATTTTTTTTTTTTTTTTTTAAGAGTCCAGGTGAAAGCAATGTTAAAGAGATAGTGCGAGAGCTCTGTCCTCAAAGACACAATTGAGTATAAGACTGTTGATGTCTCTTTGACTTTTTTTTTTGTGTGTGTGTGTGTGTGGAGTATTTAAAATAGTTTTGAAGTCTTGGTTTTCATGTAGACATCATATAGCTAATAATGCTAAAGTGGTTGTGTTTTAAATAGATGACTGAGTCTAGAATAAATCAAACTGATCATACTCATAAGCCACTAACTCTTTGTACTGAGGACCATGACAGGGAAAGGGGGTCTTAAGGGAGGACCTGGGAAGGGGAGAAAAGGGATCAACAGAATGCACGTGATATCAAAGTAGAAGATGGGTAGGGATACGGAAGGGAGGAGTGGAAAAAAGGACCAATAGAAACACAGTATACATGGAAGTCTCATAAGGAAGCCTATTATGTGATATTGTGGTGCTATTTTGTTTATGATCTAACAAAGCTTGTCTGAAGATCAAAGTGGAGAGCTAGCCACACTTGATAGCCACAGAGGCCAGGCAGGGGTGGCACACACCTTTAATCCCAGCTCTCAGGAGACACAGATGGATTTCTGTGAGTTCAAGGCCACTCTGGGCTACACATGATTGAATCTGTCTAAAAGAGAAATAGCTCACACAAAGGTGACCTTTCATTCCAGCACTAGGGAGGTAGAGACAGGAGGATATGGCTGGGCAGAGAGAGGACTCTAAGACCAGAGGAGACAAGAGAGAGAGACAGATGTAGTCTGAGGGTTCCTAGAGATGGGTGCAGTCTAGGGAGTCAGTAGGAAGCACAGGCTGAGGAGAAGAGCCATCTGAAGCAGTCAGTCTGAGGACAGTTTTTCCCCTTTGGTCTGAGCATTGGTAGAGGTAAGAACTCTCTATGAGCTGGCCTCTTTGTTTCTCTCATCTTTCAGCTCTCATCCTCTGATTGCTGACCCTGAGTTTTTATTATTAAGAACAATTAGAATTTGTGCAACATGATATGCTAATTTACAAAACTAATTTTAAAAAGTCGATGGCAAAAAGTTAAGGGTCTAAAGTATGCTTGAAGACGCTGCAATCTTCTCATTTCACAGGGAGAAATTAATAATACCAGTAACGATCCCTTTATATTTATTGGAAGCCACTAGGGCAGAGAGTCATTAAGCAACTAGCCAGTTCCAGGTAGACATTGGACTCCTCTGTCTTTATAGGGTCACTGAACCTTGAAAATAATGACTCACGGCAAGCAAGCTGACCCTGAGATCTGTAGTCTTGTTCCCAAATTCATCCAACCCTTATCATATTGCTTGCTGAGGAGTAAAAGCTACCATGAAAATATTTTATCAGGATGGTTTTAGAATTTTTTTTTATATATCTATCTACAGGTGCTTAGTTTTCATGTCTATTTAAACCTCATACTTCTCTGAAAAGTATTATTTCCCATTTTATTGCTAAAGCTTGGTAGAAACAAAGAATAACCTCAACATTTCACAAAGACACATGCGAACAAAGGCCAAGTAGCTCACCAAGGCTACTTGGTGCAAAAACAAAAAACAAAAACCCAAAGTAGCATAGAAAGCAATAACTGAGTCTCATCCCATTGGTGGGAGGGAAGGGAAGTCTCACTCTGACATAATTGTCTAATCTGCCTGAAGGGAGAGGTTCAGAAAATGAATGTTTTGATTTCAAAATACCTCCCTCCACCCCCCCCCCAAAACTACATTTGATAGAAAAATGGCTCCCACAGCAGCTACTGGGGGGGGGGTTGAATTACTTACACTATCTCCTTAGAGCTGCTATTACAAGTTTACCACAAATGGGTGGGAAATTTAGACCTTTAAATCTGGAGGTATAACCAGAACATAAACTGTAAAAGTGTGACACAGTTGCTGTAGCAGTGAGGGAGTGAACCAGTGCTGTAAACAGTAATGGGCAGGGTGTCTGGCATAGCCTCTATCAAGATTCTGACAATTGCAGCTCCCAAAGTGTGGTCTAGAAGTAGGTAAACACTACTGCAGGTGAGTATGGCAAATTACATTTCCAAAAGGTAGACCTAACAAGCCTTCTCATCCCTCTCCATGGCCACCTTGTCTTCTCAGGAGAGCAGGAGCCACACTGGGTGGACCCTTGGACCAGGCTAAGCTCCCAAGCATCTCCAGCTGTGCTTGGAATTGGGCCAGCACCTGAGCCAGGCTCAAGAGGAGTTGGGGATATCCCTACATCTCAGACATATAAATTCTGTGGAGGGATGGTATACTGTGAATATCAGGTTGCAAAGGTTCTAATGCCCCCAAGCTGACCCAGAGCCTTTGCAGCACAGGAGTCAGAGTGGAGAGCAATGGGGAGGGGGGGGTCTCTCGTGGTCCATGTACCGTCCACTCCAGTACCGTGAAGGTAAAGACAGAAACAAGTCACGAGGAGTCACAGGACACAAAAGCTACAAAGAAAAAACTAGAGCATTTTGCCAAACAGCTGAAGATCACCCTGGCTTCCACTTAGGCTGACATGGTGCTCACCTGGGGAGTTCTCTTTAGAATGGTGTTCGGCCAGAAATCCATCTACTGCTTTGAGGATCCATAGCTCAGTTCCAAGGACATGTGTAAGCTTCAGCTCCCGCAGGAGAAATGGGTGGAGGAAGCCAACAGGGAGAACTCCCAGAATATATGCAAAGCAGAGCATCTGCTGCAGGAGGGCAAGAGAAATCGGATGGGGGGGGGGCGCTGTAGAACATTTCTGTGGTGGCCGGAGCCCACCTTGCAGATCAACATCACCACCAAGCATCTTGGGCTGGAAAAGGATGTGGTCCTAGTTTGCTCTGTCACCAACAAACACCGATTAGTCCCAACCAGAGGAGTAGGAGGCTACGGGATCTTCTTTTCCAGGGCTCATGCATCCTCTCCTCTGACCCCAAGGCCACATTTGGGTGCCCCAGGGTACAGGAGCCCCAACCTCACCATGCTCCGTTCTTCAGCGGCTTTGGGATTAAAGTCTTCATTTACTGAGGAGAGACTGAAAGCACAAAGGGTTGAGGAGCACAAAGTGAGAGGTGACGGAGGGTAGCCGAAGTTCAGTGATGCCCTGTCACGCATCACTTTGTCGATCCCAGCACTTGGAATGGCACGCCTTTAATCTCCCAGCACCAGGGAGTGATATGGCTGGGTGAGAGAGGAAGATAGTGTGGGAGGAGACAGGAGCTCACTGCAGTCTAGGCAGTCTGAGGAGCAGTTGAGTTTGGAGATGCATTGGTGGAGGGGAGGACTCTCTAGTGGATGGCCGCTTTGCTTTTCTGGTCTTTAACCTTAACCCCAACACCTGTCTCTGGGTTTTTATTATTTCTGTTACAGGTGGGTGTTGTTCTTTTGTTATAATTATTCCCAGGTTTCGGCACCAATGTTGTTCTTTTGCTGCAGCTATTGCCTAAGAAACACAAACTCGAGACTCAGCGCCCACGTGGAGTTTATTGAGAGAGGGAAGAGAAAGAGGGGGTAGCTGGTGGCCAACCGAAAGCAGGGGAGAGAGGAGAGAGAGGAAGAGAGAAAAGGCAAGAGAGAGGCGCACTTGCTTTAAAAGGGGAAACTTGAGCATGTGTAACTGAGCCCCCTGGCAGCCAGGTAAAGCTTGAGCAGCCAGGTAAGTCATGATATAGAGACATGGACATGAGCATCCCGCCCATCATCAAGGGGCGGGGTCAGCAGACTGCTGGTTCCCAACATTGGGTGCTTCTAGCTCCCCCCCCCCCCAAAAAAAATGAGTACTGGGGATTGAATTTACATCCTCACACTTGCTAGCGCTTTCCTGACTAAGCCATCTCTGCCAGGTTCCCTTGCTGTAAAAGACAGACTTGTTATCATTTAGTCTCTAAAGACATGGTGTGTATTTTCCTTCACTCCCCCTTCCTCCCTTCCTTTGGACAGGGTGTCACTAAGTAGTTCAGGCTGGCTTGGAGCTTGCTAAGTAGTCTGGTATGATCTCAAACTTACCATCCTAAGTGCTGGGATTACAGCCGTGTGGCCTCCACACCCAGCTCTGTCTATGTAACTTAAGAATCTACAAGCTCTTACACAATATCACAAAAACTTACCATTCCTAGTTGTTAAATTCAAAACCAGGGGCCCAAGACAACATGCTTTAGATTCAGAGAGGACCCTTCCTAGGAGACTTCTATATCAGTCACACGGCCTCACAATGGGAGTCACTCACTGATGCTGTCATCGCCGAGCTCAGCTTCCGGGATTCCAATGGTCTCCATGGCCAAGTTTCCTATCGCCTCCCAGCTAATGGCTTTATTCATTGATCTTTCCTGAACTGATTAATTCGTTTGAGACAAAAGCCAAACAAAGCGTGATTTCTTTCTTCTCCTTTTTGTTTTTGATTTTTGTTTGTTTTTTTTTTTTTTTTTGTTATTTTGTTTTATGAAACAGGGTTTCTTGGTGTAAGAGCCCTGGCCATCCTGGAACTCGCTCTGTAGACCAGGATGGCCTCAAACTCACCACCTGCCTCTGTTTCACAAGTACTGGAATCAAAGGTGTGTGCCCCCCATCCCATGCCCTGAAAAGACCAGTTTTCTAATCAGCATTCTTCCAGCGTTTATTATGAACAGCTCTACTCCATCAAGAAGACTCATCTACTCTGGCTGTTTGCTAACCCCGTGATCTTGAGAGGCACCCGCTTTTCAGACAGGTGCCTGAGTTGTCCACTCAGGAAAGCCTTAGAAGAGCAGTGAGAAACGCAGCCCCGAGGTATCCAACAGTGTTAAAAAATTAATATGACTGCAATGATTAGATGCAGCAAATAATTTTAAAAAAACTACAAATTTCTAGGTTTTCATATATATTCATGCCTTGTACTCTAGAGGCACACTGCCCATAAGAAATGGACAGTGAGCATAGCTATAACTTTTGAAATGTTAGTTCTTGCGGTGCTGGGGCTCAACTCTAAGGCCTTGTGCATGTTAGTTTAGCACTCTGCTAAAGTAAAAGGACCTTGGCCACTTCCCTCCAGCCTATACTTCCACGGCCTAAGAGGTCTCTGGCACATAGTAGGCACGGTAATTTAAACGAGAATGTTCCCAACAGGCTCAGATGTTTGAATATTTGGTCCTCAGTTGGTAGCACTGTTTGGGTAGGTTTAGGGGGTACGTCCTTGAGAAACGATGCCACCGCAGGCAGGCTAAGATTTGTTTTCACGGTTCCCAGTGGTTTCTCTGCTTCATGCTTGCCAGTGGGAGTTGTGAGCCCTCAGCCACCACATCTCTGCCTCGCCATCAACACAAACTTTCTTCTTTAAGTTGCCTTGGCTTCAGTGTTTCATCACAGCGATACAGAAGTGACTAACACAGTAGGCACTTACTTCTTACTGAGTAAATGAAAGAATAGACTTATTTAATGCTAGCTCTGCTCCCTTGTCAAAAACCCACTCTGCCAGTTAGCATTTATCTCAGGGTCCACTGAGCTTCTTATAAAAGAAGTCTTATGGCCCATTTTAAATTTGAGAAGTGGGTAGAATAATGTAAATGAGTTGCCTAGGACGATACAACTGAGTCTGTCACCTCCAGATCCAAGCAGGTTGAACAGGAATATGGACACAGATGTCTAATGTTTTGATACTGGGCTAGTCTTCTGTACGGCATTTTCAAGCCAGTAATTTCAAATCATATGCAATGAGCATGCTAGGTAACAGACTCAGCCAGAAGGCCCTGTAAGGGATATGCGTGCGAGGCTATGCCTAATGGGATGAAATTTAAGGGAACAAATGTTAAGTCTGCATCAAAGTGTAAACAAATTGGAGTGAGTGAAATACCAGGCAGAAACCCCAAAGTAACACATGCTGAACTGAGAAACAAGTATACCCAAGGAAGTAGAGGGCCATGATCAGATTTCCTCATGTTTAAATGCTGCCCCTGTCCGTCATTAACAACCAAACACTGAAATTAAAAAAAGCTATTATCCAGGTGTGCCGGTCAGTGCCTATCTATAATTCCAGCTCCTTGGGAAGACGAAGCAGAGGACCGTGAGTTTGAGGCCAGCTGGGCTGTGTAGCAAGACCCTGTTTTAAAATACACACACACACACACACACACACACACACACACACACACACACACACAAGGTAAGTAGAGAAGTTACCAGAAGTTAGCCTTCTATTTCAGTTTTAGGATAACCAAGGAACATATCACAGCTTTCTTAAGGTAGGGAAAAAAAAAAAAAAAAAAAAAAAAGCCTACATAACGGACTTTCAAAATCTGTAGCCAGGAAATGCTTCCTGAAGTATTAGTCGACCAAATGGCCATTCCCCCATGCCCCTCCCCATAAAACAGCTGCAGAGGGAATCCTGACAGACGAACCAACAAGAGTTTAGGGGATTTGCTCTGCAGGCAGGAGACTGGACATGAGTGTATCAGTAGAAAGAAAAAAAAAAAAAAGTTCCTAAAGGTGCTTTTAGAAGAAATATTCTTTACTAAGAAACAAATGAACACTAAAAACAACCAAGCAGCATTAAAAAAAAAAAAAAAAAAAAAAAAAGCTACACAGCATACTCCCCCCCCACCTGCAAAGCTAGGTCCTACAGGAAGATAGCATAAATAATTAATATACCTCCAATCCTAAAAGACCTATAAACTGTTTAAAGCAACGTTTGAGACACACGTTTTCTTTGGTGATGCATTCCAACTACTACCAAGTACAACTGCTAGTCTAAAAGTCTACACAGCTGTCCTCAGAAGGTGAGTGAGTGCAGGCATTCACATTCCTCCTGGTTGTGGTCTACAATAGGCAGACATCACTATAACCTTAGGACTCCCATTTGGCTGTCAACCAGACTGACTCTGGAATCAGTGGAGGGGCACACCTGTGAGCACACGTGTCAGGAGTCTCCTTGGTAAGGCTACCTGAAGTGGAAAGACCCATCCTAAACGTGGGCCGAGTGGTCATGCAGCACCCTGGTGCAAGGAGGTCCTAGGGAAACGTTTTCTTTGCTTGCCTTTACATCTTGCCTGTGAGTCCATCTGCTCAATGGCTGCCACCGCCGCCACCTTCCTTCACTGAGACTAGAGCCCAGTTTCTTTAGTTGTATAATGTGGACTTTAGACCAGTGACTCTCAAGAAACTCTACTGGCCTACAGTGTCAGATTGGGACTGCCTAGGAACAGCTTTGTGAACCAAACAGCAACAGTTCTGAGCCTCTATTGTGAAGACAGGCATCCTTGGACAACATAGAAAGTAAACGAATCTAATAACGTTTTTCTCTCTCTGTCTATCTCTCTCTCTCCCTCTCCCCCCATGACTTAACAGACTTGTCATTTTTAATCTTTGAGACAGGGTCTCACCAAGTTGCCCAGTGTGGCCTTGAATTCATTCTGTAACCCAAGCAGGCCTTGTATTTGTGATCATTCCAAGGAGTGGCAATGGCAGGTGCACACCACCCAGGCCTGGCTCCAGCCTGCACACTAATTCTTCCATTTGGTTTTAATTAAAAAAATGAAAGCTGTATTTTAAAAGCGAGCATAGAGAATAAAAGCCTACCAGTATGGATCCGTGCATCCCATTATCTGAACTCGGGTAACTCCATAATACAAACCTATAAATCAGGCCTGTGATGGTTAATTTTGATTATAAACTTGACTCATTTCTGAGCCACCTAGGAGCAAAACCTGTGTACCAGGAAGGGTGTTTTCAGAGGTTTCATGGTGGTAGACCCTGCATAGATTTGAATGGCAGGGAACCTGCAGCAAATATAGGACAAGCAGAGCAGCCACACGTCATGTAACCCTCCATTTCCTGACTGTGATGCCTCATGATAGCTGCCCCGAGCACACCTTCCCTGTCACAGCAGACTGCACCTTGAAACGGTGAGGTAAACTAAGCCCTTCCACCTTTCCGCTGTCAGTTAGGTGTCTTGTCACAGTGGTGGGAACGGAATGAACGGTAGGCTCTAAAACTACACCCCAGTCATGTACTAGAAAAGAGCCAACTCCACTGTCAGGGGGAGGGACAAGAAGAAACATTGACTACCGAGAAGAAACTATGACGAGTGGCAATTTTACTGCAATTTCTAATTACAGAGATTGCATACATTATTAGGTCAACAGTATATAAAGAACAAATTAAGTAAACACATGGTTGAGATCTAGTAAGAGAAGGAAAAAAAGAACTCTTTTTTTTTTTTTTTTTAAGAACACCACACAATCCAGAACTTTGACTCCTTTTGTAAGAAAATTTACCTTTTTTTTGCGTTTTTCTGGACGGAGCAGCATCTGTAGGTACATTATGTGAAACGGGAACCCACTTCACAGCTAAAAACATGAAAACACAATGTACACAGACACACAGCCCTCTGAACACTGGACAGAACAGAAACCAAGATGGTAGGCTGCCTATGTTTGCCTAAACACAGCAGGGTTACTCTTCCGCCAGTGGCAGCTTTCCATAGAATATTATCCTGTGTACTAATATCATTCATGTTGGAACACACACACCCCAAAAATGAGTGGGAGTCAATACCTTCCTATGAAAGAAAAAGTATACAGATATATAAAGATATACCAGATGCTAAAAATTTCCCTTCTTCATTCTATTACTTATCCCGTTCAACACAAAAGAGTGAATAATTTCCTACAAACTTCAAGTATACAGTTGCAAAGAGACATAAAAACCCCCAAATCTTAATTTACTCTTCCTCGTCATTAAATAAACATGCTAACATACAGACACACAAGACACATGACGCTTATGCAAGTTGTGGGAGTCAGTCATGGCTAGGTCTCGCCATCTCATCATGACAGCCACACCCCAAATGCAGGTTTAACATGGGCAAAAGTTGCTCAAGATAATTTTTTCTCCTTTTTCTGTTTAGTTAAGTTAAAAAAAAAAAAAAATAGGCTTCATCTTTGAGATTTTAGAATCACATTTGGGTGGTGTGAAAAAATACAATTTCAACGCAAAAATCCTCTCAAGCATTCAAGAGTGTTATTGCTGGTGCTATAATCTTTTTGCATGTCTTTGTTTTCATAGGGGGGGAAAAAAAGTAACAGTGGGATAATCAAAAAAGTCTGAGAACTTTAAGTGGCTAAGCCCAAACGCACAATCTGAACTGAGGCCTCACGCACACGCGTGCAAGCTCAAAGCGTGGGGGAGAAGATCAGACATCTTTCTTGTGCATTTGTTCTAGCTTTCTTCTCAGGAGGCTGTAATTCTCCTTCGTGCCTGCTGCCACGGGGTCGAGCTGCAAGGAGATCTCATAGTGTTTCTTGGCCGAGTGGAGGTGTCCCCAGCGATGATAAAGCACAGCTGAAATAACAGGAGATGGATTTGGTTGGAAGGATTCCCAAAGCACATGTACAAAGGACAGTTGTGGAGCCTTTACAGAAACCACTACTTAAAAAAAAAAAAAAAAAAAGAAATATTGTTTGTACTGTAAGCTTTGTTTATTGTAATCACACACCCTGGGGAGTGGCCCCTGGAACCCTGCCTGTTAATCACGGGGTTCTTCTTATTGTTAGATTCACGTGCTTCCAGAAATGTTATTACAAAAAGGAAGGGCCGTGACTGTTTCAATGCTGCCGTGAAACTTCTAGCTAGTCAGCGCTTCACTGAACTCGGGTTACATCGGAGTCTACTCTTTAAATATTTCATTCTTTATATATATAAAAAAAAAAACCCCAGAATTTTATACTTATTTATTTCTATCTTGCGTGTATGAGTCTTTTGCCTCTGTGTGTATGTGCACCACATGCATTCGGTGCCTGGTGCCTATAGAAGCCAGAAGATGTCAGGTCCTCTGGAAGTGGAGTTATAGATGGTTGTAAGCCTCGGCATGGGAGCTGGGAACCAAATATGGGTCCTCTGCAGGACTAGCCAATGTACTTAAGTGCTATCTCTATAAATCTAACCTTTTATTGTAAGTGAAGATTTCGATACACCTTTTGGCTGTGTTTCTAGGTTGAAGTTGGGGCTCTCACATCAGAACCGAACTGTAAAGTGATGTTAACAATAAACTGAATCTTCAACATCCTAACCCTGACTGGTACAGGGAATGTTTCTCGTGAATGTAGGACCCCCAGCCTGTGAGGACCCCAGCCTGCAAGGCAAGCACTCTATGCTGAGCTGCAACACCAGCCCACTTAATGAAAATTCATTTTGAGGCAGGACTAATACAGGTTGCCTTTCAAAACTACTTTTGCAAAAAAAAAAAAAAAAAGATTTTTTTATATACATATACATATAAAACAGCACGGAATCTCAATACGATTCAAATGGAAAACTTTCTTACCTAAATTACCATGGTAACTTGCAACATTTGGATTTGCTTTAATTGCCTTGAGGAATAAAGCTTCAGACTCCTAAAACAATGAAATACACACAGAAGAAGGTATTATGCACGAAGCAAAAACAATCATCTTCTAGCATTACTGTTTTATATCAACATATCCTTTCCAGAAACAGCCTTGCTGAGAAGGGGCCAGAAGAGCTACCAAGGGAGGCGATGACATGTGGCCACAGAACAAAGTGGCTGGTACTTGGCAACTTAATTCAAATGCCTTAATTGGGGAAGGGGCAGAAGAGGAAAGGACCAAGCTGCCAAGGATACCCAACAGAGCAGCATGCCCAACCCAAACTGATGGCCTCAGTGCAGAGACAAACACTCAAGTTTGGGGTATGAGACTGTTTAATCTCCCACAGAAACCCAGAGTACCGTCATCGTCCCAGACGAGCTGCATCCCTTATCCAGCAGCAATCAGCATAGACAACGAGGAAGAAGCGGCCATCTATGATGGGAGCTGTCCATTACTGCATAGGACTGCGACCAAACGCCCCTGCTGGGCATAGGCTGATTTCTGTACTTGTCCTTACTTGAAGTGGGGTCACTATGAAGCAGGGTGGTGGCTTTCTACTTGACTGACCCCAAATGTTCACTTCCTACCTGGAGACGGATGCCCAGCCCATGTTGGCCTAACATAAGCCTAGGGTACTATGTGTGTCTCTCACAAACCTGTTTGGAAAGAGCCAAGCTCACCGCAACTGGCATCGAACGCTGAGCCTATATTAACAGCCCATGCTGTTGGATCGGGGACAATTCTGACTTCTCACATTCTACATGAATCTTCTGAGTGGGCTTCCTGCCTCGCTGACTCTGAAGTGGACCTTCCTTGCCAAGGGATAGCCAATGGGAGTCCTGGGAAGCAGGCTGGGGGTCCAGGTGGACAACTTGAACCACAGAGCTCAGGGAAAACCCCCATCATGTAGAAATATCATTCAAAGGGGATTGAATGAAGACATCAATCTGACAGACGGGATGGCCGTGGTGAGTCAGTGCCCACGCCCAGCTCCAGCAGCTGAATTGCCTTTGGAGAGACCCAGGATTTATCCAACATTTAGATAAGATGCAGCACAACCAAACCAAAGGGAAGGTTTGGTTCGTTGTGGGTTTTTATGCAGCTATGCTTTCCCTGGTGATTTTTAAACTTTTTCATTCAACCCTAGAACTACAGGAAATAAGAGAGCCAGAAAACGAGAATCTACTCCAAGATGCTCTGGGTCTCACAGAAACGTTTGCTGGAGTGGACTGCTGCAGGGGTGCATGACGCACTTTCTAGGGGTTCCCAGAATTTCCCATTTCCCTAACTGCCCAAATGTCAAGGCCACGGCTGTCTCAGGGTAACGAGCCGGCGAGCCCGGAGACAGTGACACCGATCGATGGAGGAAGGGGTTTGAGGTTCACACATTTCTTAGCATGTGGCAACTCCTACATTGCAAGATTGAACTTTACAGGGGGACAAGAAGATGGAGGAGAAAGCTTGAGTCACGTTTCCAAGGCTCGGAATAGCAACATTGCAGCATATAGGCACAGGGGCATCCCAGAAAAGGCAGGTCTGGGGGCAAGTGAGTAGGGGCAGGATCTGCTGCCTCAGGGAGTCTGGGGGCTGCTTGAGTGCAAGTTTCAGCGGCCCTGGGCTGCACCTGAACCTGAGGATGAGGCCAGGCCTGGAGGTGTTCAAAGCTTATGATGTGCTCATCCATCCCATTTCAATGGCATGTTCAAGAAAGACTTTATGAACTGGTCCCTGGAGAGATCCAGATGCTTATAAACACAGGCACTGTGCCGATTTTTATCACTGGATAGATTCAAACCTCCTTCAACTGGAGATATCTTTTAATAACATGGAGAAAAAGCAATGCACTCTTGTGAAGGACATTATACACTGTAGTTAACAAAGACTTAGGGCTGGGAATGGCCTTGCAATCTGGATCTTTAAGAATAAGTGGAGACCTGGGTAGAGAGGACCTGGAAGGCAAAACATCTCAAGAGAGACACCTGAGTCAGAGCCCTCCTACGGGCCATCTTGAGTCCTGCGTGACTCAAAGAAGGACAGGGGAGCAGTGTGGCGTGAATTGAAATCATTTCTCAGCAAGGTCACCTCCCTTCGGATTCTCTTAGGAAAAAGACAGTACAGCTGGCAGCTTTTGGCTCATACCCACTACTGTGGACCAGTCTTCCTTTGAAGCCAACAGAGGATGACCCCAGGCTCAGAGCCTGTGCCTGTAACAGTTAAGTAGCTGAGACCGTGTGAAGCGTTCACTTTTTAGCCACCTTCTATTTCTAGTAATGACATATTACCTTTTAAACACATTTATCTGTATCTAAAATATATTCAAAGGGCCAGAAAGATGGCTCCGCAGTTGAACACAATTTGCTTTTGCAAAGAGCCCAGGTTGGGTTCCAAGCACTCACAATGGCTTTCTCATAGTTACCATCTATAACTCCAGTCCCAGGGGATAGGATGTCGTCTTCTGCTCTCCACGGGCATTACACATATGCGGTGCACACAGACACACACGCAGGCAGAACAATCACACACATAAAAGTAAAAAAAATTAAAAATCAGAAAAAAAATTTTAAAAAATTTAAGTAAATGAAATGAAAAAATTTAATTTTTTTTTAAATTATTATTTAAAGAGAAGCATCAGTTGGGTGTGGTGTGCACTCCTGTACTTGGGAGGCTGAGGCAGGAGGATGGAAGAGTGCCAACCCGGGCTACATAATAAAACATAGCAAGACCCAGTCTCTTAAATAAACAGATATAAATAAATAGAAAATCAAATAAGTCAGGTAGAACTTACAAGAGAAAAACCAAAAAATTCTTAACGCGAGTGGTGGGTGTGACACACATGACGAGTCTCCCTCACTGTGACATGCTCTTGAACCTCAAGGCAGCGGAGTGAGTGATGCAGAGAGGAAGAGGCTGGGAAGTGCCACAGTAAGAGCCGAGTGTGACTTCTGTCTTCCCAAGTGATTCACAGATTCACTGAATGGTCATTAACCTCAACTCATCATTTTGTATGCATGTATTTACCATTCAACAGACGCAAATTCCACACCATGTTCTCCTATCACGAGGCCAGAATTCACGCAGACTGCCATCTCCACTTCACATAAGAAGGGAGTGACGCATGGACTGGTGAGTGACTGCTGTTAGGTTCAAGGGCTCTTGAGAGAGCCTTAGAACCTCTCAATACAATAGACAGCATTTTTCTGTACACCCAAGCAGCTAGCAGGCTGCTGAAGCCTCTATCCTGATGTTGATTGAGGGATTCATTTGGTTATTTCATCACTACAAGCGTGAGGACCTGGATCTGTATCCCAGTACCCACGCAAAAGCTGGCATAGTGGTAGGGAGGCAGAGACAGGAGGGTCCGTGGATCTCTCTGGCCGGGCAGGCAATCTGGCTGAATCAGAGAGCTCCTGATTCAGCTCAGACTCTCAAAAAATAAGGTGTGGCTGAGGAAGATACCTTACATGGGCCTCTGACTCCAGCCATATGTACACACACACACACACACACACACACACACACACACACACACACGCACGCACGCACGCACGCATAAGTGACAAATAAGTTGTCCAGAATGCAGACTTCCAGTCCCTGGGACAGAAGATGAGCCTACTCCAATCCTGTAAATCAGCACTATTCCTCCACCCCCACACCACACCATCACCACTTTTCCTACTGTAACTGCCCAGGGCTCTGCAGGGCACCCTGCAGGCCAAGAACAAAAGATTCTCTTCCCATTGTGAGAGAAAAGCTACACAAACGTTTACATTCCAAATCCTTAAAAAAAAAAAAAAAAAAAAAAAAAAAAAGTATCAGATGTTGGCCCTTGGCTGGATTTGGCTGGCTGACCCCCCTGGCTGGAAAAGTCCCATTATGCTCCCCGCTGGTAGCTGCCCAAGAGCTCAAAATGAGCTCCTTATTTCAGATTTCATCTTGTTTCCCTGTCATAGGCTCAGTACTCTGGCCTTGCCCATTAAGATGAAACATGTGTAAAGATAAAGGCAATTAAATGACTGCCCCATTCTGCTATATGGAGTATTTGCTACTTATTAAGTGGGTGGGGGATATGTGAACAGAAAGGCAAATGAACCCTGGGTTCAATTCCTGTAATAGAAATTGCACTTTATAGACTGTAGGGTGATAAGGGAAAAAAAAAAAAAAAATCAATGCAATGACTACAGAATTGGCATCCTGAACAAGGCTTGCTCTAGCTGGGTCCATGTAGGACCAAGTCCCCTAACTTGTCCTTGCTGACAACCCCCCTCTCCCCTCCCCATGTAGAGGGACAAAAAATAAAACGGTACACCTCCAAAAGCTGCTTTTTAGGACAACGGCTAGAACTAATAATGTATAGGGGAAACCTAAATCCACCAACATTCAAAAAACGATAGAAACACATAAAACAGTTTACAGAAAACTAAACCAATAATGATGTCTAACGAACACAAGGGAATGACAACAGAGAGGTATTAATTAACGCATCAGCAGGGTTCTCTAAAGGAAAAAAATTAATTGCTACTGTTAGGCCCTGAATCACATCCATGGCCTCAGGATTTTCAAAACAACACATAGCTGTTATAATTCCGAAATAAAATTATTCAGGATAAAACATTAATATGGAGTATCAATAAAAATATTAATATTTTAAATGGTAACTCAAATATCTATCAGCCCATAATCCTAAAACATTTCTTCCTCCAAGGGTCATGGGACTGCTTTTCAAAGTACCTCCAAGGCTTTCTCTGTGTGTGTGTGTGTGTGTGTGTCCACTACCACAGAGCTACATCTCAGTACCAGTACCACCAAGGCTTTCTCTCTCTCTCTCTCTCTCTGTGTGTGTGTGTGTGTGTGTGTGTGTGTGTGTGTGTGTCCACTACCACAGAGCTACATCTCAGTACCAGAGTTAAGATCTTGCTCAAAAACCTCTAGTATCTTGCTGATGAAGATGATGTGGAGAAGCCTTGGCTGTATAAGATACAAAAGATGGTACCCAAAGACATGGCTAGTACTCCTGCCCTACTGCAAGGGGCAGGGTCAGACTCTTCATGCAAAGTGGGGGGGAGGGGGGCATCGTGAGAGGGATGACACCAGCCACATAGCACAGTACAGACCAGCAGCTCATCTTAGTTACACTCCCTGCTCTGCCTCGGTTTCTCTTCCCTCTCCACAAGGAGCGGGCGTGCTTCTGGCGAGAAAGGGCACTGGGTTTGGTCCTTCTGTTGGGAAACTTCTTCAGGAAGCAAACTGACCAAGAGTTCCCGTAGTGCCCCTCCAGCCTAACTCACTTCTGGCTCCTGTTAGCTGCTGGACATCAAGGACTCTGGTTTTACCCACCTTGTATTTCTGGGTTTTCCCCAGCACGTTTGCCAAGGAGAACATCAGAGAGTGATCGTTGGGAATTAATTCCAGTGCCTCTCTTCCGACTGCTTCAGCCTGGGCTAAATTACCTGGGAGGAGAAATGAAAACCACATCGATAGTGTGCTTACGTCGTCCTCCATCTAGAGAAGGACTTACATGCATCATACGTGACCACGGAAACACTACTTGAAAAGACCCTAGCAGAACATGTGAAGACAACCCACAGCCTAGTGAGTGGAAGAGCTGTGGAAATTCAGCGTAATTCTGACTGGAGAGGTGAGTACCTTCCCACGACAATCTAGAAAGCCATGTCAACATTTTCTACCAGATACCTGTTACACAGTGACTTTCATCACATTATGTTCAGATATGTCAGAGGGAACTTCATTTTCTAGAAAGATAGACAGTATCATTTTGTGTCAGGGTGTTGTTGCATGTGCTGGTCATATGTCAGTATTAGACATCTTCAAGCTTTCCTTACTTTCGGACACAGGGACAGGGTCTCTCACTGAACTTGGAGCTCACTAGTTAGGTTAGTCTGGAGAGTTAGTAAACCCCCATGAATCCTCCTGTCTCTACCTCTCCGGTGTTGGGGTTACAGGTATCTGCCATCATGCCTACGCTTTTTATGTGGGTGCACAGAGTAGAACATAGGTCCTCATTCTTGCACAGCAACATTTTACTGACTGAGCTATCTCATGCCCCTGTAAGAACAGACGTTGTCATAACACCAAGTAACACCAGATTTTCTTCCTCCCTTCCTCCCTTCTTTCCTTGCTTAGAGTCTCACTATGTCATCCTGGTTGGTCTTAAACTCAGAGATCCTCCTGCCTCTGACTCCCACATGCTGGGATTAAAGGTGGGTACCACCATGCCCATCTTATTTATTTTTTTAAACTGAAGGAAGGAACAGCACTAGTCTACGTGGCCTGTTAGCCTGTGGAGATGACACTGGTTTAGGTGACCCAAATAGCCCGTGTGTATGATATTGGTCCTTGATCAGACCACAGACCTGGATGGTGGGACACTCATCACCGCCCTTTCCTCCGTACCCGTGTTGTCCAGGAGGATGATCATGTTGTTCCACGCCAGGCTGTGCTCCGGCTTCAGTACAGTGGCGTTTCTCCATGCGTTCAATGCGTCCACGTGGCGATTTAGATCTGCATACTGAAAACAAGACACCCCCAAAGTCAGCACCCCAACTCGTCTGTCTCTTCCCCTTTCTCCAGTATTGCCAACAAAGACAAAGTCCCACAAAAGAAACTGGAACCCGCCCCCCCCCCCCCCCCCGCCTTACCTTCACTCATGGAGCTTCTCCTTTTTCCTATCAACCCACGTACTCGAAAAAAAATACGGCCCCAGTGAAGATGGAGCCATTACAATCCCACTCTACAGATACAACAAGCAAGATAACAGGAAAGCGAGTGACTTGCTTAGCCACATGTCTAGAGATGGAAGGCCAGGTTTAGGATCTGACCAAGAAGCGTTAACCATATAACCTATTATTTGCTGATCTCAGTTACGAAATCACATTTCAAGCTACTGAGAGATACTACTATTTTCTATTCCAGAAAGGCCCCTATAGTCTGTCTTTAGTAATGCATTATTTAAAACGGTAAACAAGCATTTTATGTAACTAGAACGCTGTAGTGGGCTGGGGAGATGCCTCTGAGGGGTAAGTGCTTGCATACACTTGCAACCCCAGAGCATAGTTGGGGACAGAGACAACAGGTGGGCCCCCAGAAGGCTACTAGCCTGCTAGCCTAGTTGAAATGGCAAGGTCTGAAATAGTCAGAGATCCTGCCTCAAAGAATAAGGAGAGCCACAGAGGGAAGGATCTAAAATCGGTATTTTGCCTCCACATATGTATATGCAGGCTTATCTCTCTCCTCTTCCCTTCCCTCCCTCTCCTTCATTTCTCTGTCCCTCCCTCCCTCCCCCCTTTGCCTCTCTCTCTCTCTCTCTCTCTCTCTCTCATTCACACAACACAGATGTGACAGATGGGGGGGGGGACAAGAGCTCATATGCATGCTATATGCCTAACTTGCTTGTTTTGAGGAATGGTTTAGAAACCTCTCATGGATATCTAAACTCAAGATAAAAACATGAGCCATTCAGATAGGTTTTGTAAACTCCTTCCTTGGAAATGACCTGCACAGTCATATGCAATCCCTCAGCAGTTTGGATACTCTTTGCCTGTTTGGGAAGAAGAGAATGTGAGCCCCCTGCATGTCGTGGGGGGGGGGGGGTCCAAGTACATTTCATCTGAATGTACTCCTTTCCTGAAACTTGGCACAAATTTCAAATGACAGAAATCTATGGCAGATTAGGTTATTACTTCATTCCTGCTTACTAAGCACACTTTCCACCGGGCAACTGAAATATTTTGACCTGTCCTATGGCCCACACAACAAAAAGGTGTCACAAGGTTTACTGAATTATGAATACATTTACAAATATTTGTTTTGTTAAAAAAGAGTCAGAATTCCTCAAATTTCTCATGAGTCAATATTTTACCCTTTAAACAATTGGGAAATGCTATAAAAATTCAAATAGATAGGGCTGTTTAAATATACTAAACATTAAACTTGGCCTCTGCATTGCTGGGGGATTTCCTTCTGTGTATATGTCTCTCTTACTGGTTGATGAATAAAACACTGTTGGCCAATAAGGCAGGAAGATAGGTGAGTCTAGGAGCCTAGGAGAATTCTGGGAAAGGTAGGCAGAGGGAGCCCACCAGAGCAGTTGCCAAGTACGCAGGCAATGGAGTAACAGCTCTGGAACTTTCTCTGATACGTTAAGATGATGCTGAGATACATAGATTTATAGAAATGGGTTAAGAATTAAGATAGAGCTAGCCAGTTAGAAGCCCAAGCCACGGGCCAACAGTTTCACAATTAATTTAAGTCTCTGTGTGTTTATTTGGGGCTCAAGGGCTACGTGAACAGTTGGGACAGAGAGCTCCAGCAACACTGCATTGGATGTGTCAAGCTGGTTCTCTCCAGTGTGTAACACACATGTGAGTCTCCTGGAACGCCAGTGGTGACACTCACTGTAACAAGTCCTCACATGTTTCCAACTCATTCCCACTATTACTCTGACTGTTACGGCTGCTTGTTGAAGGTCGAATCGAGGTGTTTACTGCGTGACTCACTATATCACACTGAGGCTCCCGTGATGAGATTTTTATTTTTAAGGTTTTTTTTTTTCTTTAAAATTTTTTTTTCTCTTAAATTTTGTTTTATTTTTTTTGGGGGGTGGCGTGCTGTGGTGAGGGTGGATGCAAACGGACACAGAAATGAATGGAATCAAGATACAAGATGTAAAAGACACAGAATAAATAAAAAGGAAAGATAAAACAGAGAAGCATGGCGATTTAATACTCAACTGGGAGTTGGCGCATTTCTTAACTACCAGTCCTTCATGCATCCCATACTCTGCTCTGGGTTCTTTACCACCTGACTCCTTGACACATTTTTGTCAGCCTCAGAAAGTCAAGGCCAGAGAACCATGTTTTTCCTCACTCCCATCCTGCCCTTCTCCTCCTCCCATCATCCTCTCCTCCACTGTCCCAGGCCTGGGAGCCGTGGTCTCTCCTCCATGTGGCATCTTCTGAGTTCAGTTCCCCTTTCAACCACATGCTTCCCCCAAACCCATGGGTTTCCTTTCATTACTATCTCTGCATCCATAGATTTCCATTTTCGTTCTTCCTACAACTGTTTGAACAGGTCCTTCTGCTAAGGCTTCCCGGTTTACAACGTGACTGACATAGATGACCAGCGTCTGCACAGCGAACAGTCTCCAGCATCCTCCAAGCCACTATCACCACCACCCTCAAGGACTAGCATTATGCCACAAACAACCGGGCTCTCTCTATTTCCTCTATAATTGCATTACATGCTCTTCTTATCAGAGACCGCAAGTCAAAGCAAGCATCTGCCTCCCATTATTTATATATATATATATACACACACACGACTTCTAAAAGAGACAACTTGAAGTTATTAAGTTCCTTTTATTTTCGGATATATACGGGGCAGGTTGAGCTGTTAAAGATTAAGCCCTAATGCTTTTAAGCTGTCAAGAGCAAAGGCTGGATAATTAAACCACAACGGAGAGCAAGAGCCTTACACAAAAGGTCCTGTGGTAATTAATGCCATTTCAGGGCAGCACGATGGGTAAGAGCTCCGAGGCATCCCTTGTTCCAGGGCTATGACTGGTCATCCCATGGAAAGCATCATGAAGCCCAGGGCTAGAGCTCACCATCCAAGCTTGTATTTTTATGTTCTGTGTTCTTCTCTTTGGGTGCTATTCCTACTGGGGCTCACTTAGCATAAATCCCATTCTCTAAACTCCCATTAGTAGTAGCGACAGGCAGTGAGGAGGTAGGAAATGACGACTAACGTGGAAGGTGCAGGTGGACACATGTGCTTTGCAAGCAATGACTGAAAGGAACCACCTCTAGACGAGGAAAAACCGAAGACTTCACAAGGACCAAATCTCATGTCATTTAAGTACTAGTTTAACTGACCCAGCAAGCAAGAGACAGTAGTAACTCCACCTCCACCAGATTTAGGGTAATAACACATCTGCTCCCTCCAAGCAGTACTTTCTCCCTTTGTCAACTCTGAGGACTGGCCCCGGTTTGTATGTGATTGAGGTTATGGTCTCTACTCACATTACCATGAGTTTTTAAAGTGCCCCCCCCCCCCCGAATATCCCTAGGAGAGATTAATACTTCTTCAACATAGACGTCTGTATCACTATAAAGCATGCACTTTGAAATGTGAAAGTAGCTCACGGGGCCAGTAGTCATGGAGACAGCCAAACGAGGTCAAGGGAACAACATGCTCGACCTTTGTTCAAATCTCTTGTTCCCTGGGATCAGTCATGTCGATGTCTCTGTCAACCCAACCCTCCACAGTGCCCTGGAGGAAGCAACTCTTCCTTTTGACTTCTGGAGATGGTATATTCTTATTGTACTGAACTAAAACAACGTTAGTGTTTTTTAAATTAAAAAAAATAATTGACACCATTCTAAAATTTATAACACAGATATTATCTGCCCACTTAGGCGACTTGTCCAGTGTAGGGGGCACAGAGGTCCCTGCACCCACAGGTCAGTAAAGAAAACAGGAATGTTAAAACACACAGGGACCTCTTCTCAATGGTGGAGACAAAATACCTGTTTTCCTACCCTGAAGGCTAGGGGTGGATTTTGTTAATTAATGATCTGGTGATCTTTTAACTATCTGTGGAGGCAGCTCTCACCTACCCTTTGCTGTATAGAGGCATACCTCCTCCAAACTCCCCAGAATGATTATTCTAGATTCTTCTCTCTGTAAACCATCGCCCATCCTTAGGGAAGATATCACATGCACTTCATGGCCTGCTGACCTCTGTGTTCCTGGTGGGAGACCACACTAGCTTCTAGACCTTTTGGTTAGAGAACCCACCGGCCTGGTCACATGTGCTCTGTAAAGGAGTTGCTGTATAGTCACAACTTTAAGCTTTACTGTGCACTGGGAATTGGAGTGACTGCTGCCTGGAAACAACTTTACTGTGTTTTAAATAAGCTGACAATGAACCACCAGACTCCCCCAAGCCTGATCCAGGTAGACAAAGTCAATCTGTACCTCCTCTTCATTCCCATCTCCTCCCCTGGCTTGCTTCCCAGCACGTGGCCTGTAGGAGGCGCCCCCCGGGGACTCCCTCAGTGCATCATGACAAAGTCAGTGCTCTGCTCATTGCCACACATCCCACCACTTGGGACATCGGGACCTCTCTTCATTCTACCTGTGCAGTGCACAAAATCATGGCACATCATTTCCAGAAACAAACACACGAAAGGCCAACGTTATCTGTATAATGGTAAAAATGGAAGCCCATTGTTCCTATTTAAAAAACAAAACAAAACCCAAACATCCAATGTTTTCTGGGTATCCCTTCTGCTTTGACATGGCCTTCAGGTCAAAGTTCAGAATTCAGAAAGGGATGCTTCCCAGAGGCAGGACATTCATTGTCTTTTGTAGAAAATACAAACGTTATAATGAAAACTCTCAGTTATCAAATATGAGAAATATCTAGATGAATAGCTAAAACTACTGGTTTTGTTTATATAAGGACTGCATAAAAATGAAGATACTTCAGGTATTCAAGAAGGGATAAAAAAGCTTTTTTTTTTTTTTATTTTTTTATTTTTTAAATAACCTGTAGATTTTACCTACTTGTGAAGCTGTACATTCTTTTTTCTTTTTTTTTTTTTAGATGTTCCGTCACTCTGTATACAATCCAGTTCGGCTCACACAGACCAAAGGTATTTTCTCTTATCAATTTCACCTAGTAAATCTTACGACTCCTGTTTAAAGAATGATGCTGCTTAGGTTGTTATTTGATGGGGGATGTGCTTCTGTATGCTGTGAATATATGTTTCTCTTATTGGTTGATGAATAAAGCTGTTTCAGCCAACGGACAGGCAGGATTTAGCCAGGCAGTAAATCTGAACACGGACAGAGAAAGGTAATAGGCGGCATCAAGGAGATGCCATGTAGCTACTGGGAAGGCAGGGCGTCGGGGCATTCTCCGGTAAGCCAAGAACATGTGGAGAGACATAGATCAATAGAAATGGGTTGATAATTAAGAGAGAGCTAGCCAATAAGAAGCCTGAGCTATTGGTCAAACCGTTTATGATTAATATAAGCTTCTGTGTGATTATTTGAGATGAAACGGTTGGGAGACCGGGTGGGACACAAACTTCTGTACACGAGAAAATTAGAATCAATCAGACTGCCTTAAATATCCTGTCAAAAACTAGAAGTATAGATTAATTCAAACATCTTACGTTCTAGTTCCATAAGTAACTGCCAGGCCCTTTCAGATACACGCTGTAACTCCCGAAGCAGTGTTTTGGAGGAGAATATCCTCCTGCAAAAGAAGAGATCTGCTCCCTTGGGAAAGGAGAACAAGGGAGCTCTCAGAAATCAGTTACAGGCTTGTTTTTATATCTTGGTTTCTATTCAATTCATGTCTTAAAAACAAAACAAAAACCAATGTTCATCAGGAAGTGGGCCCTTGGAGTGAGTACAGTTTCTGGGGCAGAAGGGATGTACAGAACTTTGTGATTTTATAAACTGGACTCATTCAGTTTGGATGGCTCACTAATCAGAACTCTAGCGGTACAAACAAGGAAGTCAACAGATACTTGCAAAAGAGATAAACACACATAGCGGACTTCTATAATGCGGAGAGTCCTGCACGGGTTTAAGAGGGTTCTGTTTCAGGAGATGGAAACCGGGGCAGTCTGTCCTTACCAGCCGCCCAAGGTTGTAGTAGCAGTCTGGATATTTCCGTCTGTGCTTAATTGCTGTCCGGTAGCTTTGCTCTGCTGCCTCGAACCGTTTCAGGCTATTCTGAACTATGCCCAGATTCATCCACGCGGCTGCAAAGTCTGGCCTAGGAAAGCATTTTTTTTAATATATATATATAAAAAAAAAATAAACAAGAAAAAACAGAAGATTAAATGACTGCACAAATCCAAAGATCTTTTTTTTTTGGCTTTGGCAGAAAGCTAAGAAAAGAAAAGGATGCTTACTGTATTTGGACAGCCAGTGACAGCAGCTCTTCAGCTTCCTGCAGTTCATTCCTTTCCTTTAAGATATTCCCGAGGTTATTCATGGCATGGATGTACTTGGGATTTAGTCTGGAAATGGAGAGGAACGCCAGACAGACTGTTACTGTTCATTTGTTTCCACCCGACACTCGGAGATCAGCGAAGGTCAAAGAGGTTTGCAGAGAAGAGCCAGGCACCTAGGAAAGTGAAGATTCATGCACACTCGTATGTACCTGACTGCTTCCCGGTAATATCTGATGGCTGCTGTTTGGTTGCCTTGGTCAGCCAGGTTTTTGCCAATGTTGTAGTGAACCTGAAAACACAGGTGACAATTCGGCTATCAGTACAGACACCTACTGAATCTTCTAACTGAAGACAGAAGGAAAAGGGATTTAAAACAAAACATCTGCCAGAACTAAAAGGCCCTGTGTGTGTGTCGGGAGGGGCGGTCACAGGCTTACGACTATAAGCCGGGGGCAACAAGCAGACACAGCTCTAAATAAATATGACAGGAAGGAAAATGGCTGCGTCAACCCCAGAGGAAACCAGAAAGTCACAAAACTAAGCTGTCTGGCAGGTCCAAGCCAGGCATGTACCAACCCGAGACAGAAGTAACAAGTCCTGTCACTTTGCCTGTGGTCTGGCATATTCCTCTGCCAGCATTGCAAGCATTTTGCTCCCTGCATCATGAGTGGGATACTTTTGTCCCCCACCCCTAAATTCATACAATGCCATCCTAACTCCTAACACGAGGCATAAGAAGGTGAGGACTTAGGAAGGTGAATAGGTCATACAGGTGCTCCACCCCTTACTTTATTCTGTTAGGGTCTCAATGAAAAGATGGCTGTCCTTCCCAGGCACCACGGCCCACAGGTGCCTTTACTGTAGACTCGAGAAGTAAATATCTACGATTTAAACCCCAGTCCACAGTGTTCTCCAATGGCAGCCTAAGCTGAGAAGGTACCAAATAACATCTAGCATCCTTCATCCTTCAGGCAGTGACTGATGATGACTGAGTAAGGCACAGTCCCAGCAGCAAAAGCCCAAAGGCCTGCCTCACAGCTAAACTACTGCCTCAGTACCAGTGTCCCTGGACAGGCTGCAAGGGTAGTGCAGGAAAGGTTAGGTCCTGGTTTCAGAGAGCAAGGGATGGATTTCCTGGCTGGAATCTGAACCTAGCCACTAGGGAAAGGTTTACCACGGAAGATGCCCTGGGAAGAAGAGGGAGGCGGGTGATAACAGGAAGCTGGTGTTGGGACTGGAGGCTCAGGGTTGCTGCAGTGCTGAGGGCAGGAACAGCAAGGCCAACAGAGGGCTGCTGAGGGCAACGAGGCCAGTGCTCTCAGGCTATCATGACAAGATGCCACCAATCATCGGGGTTCACACAGCGCTGCTAGTCTCGGTTCTAAGGTCCAAGCCCGAGGGAGGAGCTCTTCCAGCGCGGTCTCTGTGTTTGGGTGTTTGTTGGCGACCAGACTCCTCTGTGATGCTGTTCACACATCACTGAACTCCCCTGTCTCCACGTCTCTTCTCTGCCCTGGCCTCCTGCTTCCCTTTGGTATAACAGAATGCCGCAGGCCGCTAATTTTTAATACAGAAATGTATTTTGCTCAGTTTAAGAGAGAGGCTGTGAAGTCTAAAGGGGTGGGGGCGGGGGCTGTCCCTGATGATAACTCAGAGTGCAGTGGAAGGTATCACATGCAAGACAGTGGGTGTGTTTGTGCCCTGTTCCCTTCAGAGAAGGTCACTTCTGGTTTACTCCAACAGCGTGCAGGCCAAGTCTCTCTCCTTGTGAAGCCACATCCTCACATCTTCACCAAGCGGCAATTGAGGTCTGGCAGCAAATACCTTTACCTACTAATTCATCTTGTTGGTCTTAAAAAGGTTAATTTATATGATGGGAATTTCATGTTCATTAGGGAAAGAGAAGTCAGGCTGTGGTGGCGCATGACTTTAACCCCAGCGCTCAGGAGCCAGAGGCAGGCGGATCTCTATGAGTTTGAGACCAGCCTGGTCTATGAAGCAAGCTCCAGGTCAGAAAGGGCTATGCAGAGAAACCCGGTCTTGAAAAACCAAAACAAACAACAGCAAAAAAATAATGAGAGGGTTTATGAGACAACCATCAATGAGTAAAAGAAGCCGTTTGCAAAGAAGGAACAAGACTAGTGTTTGAAAATCAATGAGAAGTTCTCAGCCATCTTAGAATGAGGATGCCTGGAGTGGGAGCCGATGCAGAATATTTTCTCAGTTACACATGGGTTCAGATTACGTAACAGAGAAATATCAGGTGAGATGGTGCATGCCTGCAATGCTAGCACTTGGAAAATAGAGCAGAAGAATCAGATTAAGGTCATCACTGACTACATAGAAAGTTCAAAGCTAGTCAAGGTGACTTGAGACCTTATCTCAAAAACACCATTAAAACAAAAACAAACAAAAACAGGGAGCTGGGACCTAGACTTGGCAAACAGGATATCTTTGGCCCTGAGATCATCAGAGGTCTCTACTGACAATCAAAAGCTCTTCCCAGGACCATAAAAGCCAGTGGTAATCCCAGGAGGGGATGCCACACATCTTTGTTTAGAGAGGAAGACAGACAGCAGTTGTCACCTCATACTGAGGGCCACCAAGATTTGACATGTTTCTTGCCAATATCTTCCCCACACAGAGGCTCCGAGCTGAGGGAGGGAGTTGCCTCCCCTTGTGAGCTGATAAACCGCTTTGGTATTATTAGAAACCATGAGGCTAAATCTGAACCCCAGTTCCAGCTGGGTGAAGACAGGTGACTGTCGTAGGACACTTGGATGCCTCACCACACTGTCTGCTATGTGTCACAGACAGAACACGATTCCCTCAGTGTTCAGATAATGAGGCCCGGGACTGTGGGTGGAGTCCTGGCCTTTAAGGTGCAATAAAATTGAAGTGAGGTCCCATGGGGACCCCCAATCTGACTGGATACAGACAGGGATGAAGAAGGATATACACAGGGCTGACCACACAAGGACACATAGCTGGAGAGGCCTCCGCAGAAAGCACATTCCTCTTGGATGTCTAGCTTTTATAACTAACCTCTGTGGCTGCAGGGCTGGTGGTCTTAGGCATTATTCGGTGGTGACCCAAGCAGGGGGAAGCACCAGGCTCTGAAAATGAGCCTGTCCTGCACTGTCACATCTGAAACCCAGCTACAGCACTGCGTCAGACATGCTTGGATTTCCAGGAGGGTTAGTGTGCAAGTCTACAAGCACATGTCTTATAGATTCCCCTCAAGAAGCCTATTTTAAAATAGCTGCATGGGTATTAATCTAGTTCAATGAAGGAAACCAGAAGCAGAGAAATACTAGGTTGATGTAATACTCCTGAGTGCCACCTTCCTCACCACACACACACACACATACATAACCCTCACACACACACACACACCACACACATACCACACACCCACACACACATACACACACACCACACACACACACCACACCACACACACACACATACCCTCACACACACACACACCACACACACACTCCCTCACACACCATACACACACACCACACCACACACACCATACACACACACATACCCTCACACACACACCACACACACACTCCCTCACACACCACACACACACACCCTTACACACCATACATCCTCATACACCCTCACACACATACACACATAACCTCATACACATACCCTCACCACACACCCACACACATACACCCTTATACACACACCACATGCAGACAGAAACCTCCTGGACCACAACACTGTCCATTGATAGGTATTTCCATTCTAACATTACAGCTCGGGAGCCGGTTCAGCAAACACTATTGCCAGAGCAGGCCATGCTATTTGTGATCTCACCCCATTCCACAAAAAGATCTAAAGCTAGAGGGTGCCACCAAGAGGAATCTCCCCCTGGTCATCAGGACACAGACACAGCTTCTACTCAGATGTGGGCAGGCTCCAGCCTCTTTTGCCCACAGCTCCCTCTGTCTCCCTTTGTCCTCTCCATAACCTGCCCTCAAAGAGTTCAGCTGCCCTCTGCAGCGTGGCCGGGGTTCTGCCAGATGCTCACAATGCCAGGTGAGAATCCCACGGAAGGGGACAGGCCACTGTGAAAAGCCGAGTAGCAGTTATTTGAACAGAGTGAGCTACGAATCGGATTTAGGCCTAGAAGGCAGTCCAAAATTAAGATGACATTATCACTCTGGATTCAGCAGGGAATCCCGTGGAAAGAAAATAGCTGTCTAGGTTGGGCCAAATGACGCAGAAAACAGACCTGACGGCCAGGCTACTGTTAGCAGTGTTTAAAAATGAGTGGTTTTGTTACTGTGGTATGTAAAAGGCTGAAAGAGATCATTTATCCAACTTTCCCTCCAGCCTTTGCACTCCATAAGCTGAGACAATGAAGTCAGATTAAAACAGCCACTGCCACCAAACGACACACACATGGGGAATAAAGTAGCAGCATCCACGTCGAAGGGAGCTTTTAATACCATTGCTTTAGAACTGGCTGTTTCAAATATTCTGCCGACGTTAAAGGTTGCTAAACCTAAAATGCTAGAACACAGAAAGATTCAGTAATCACCCTTAAGGAAATACCTTGGGGTGGTAAAAGGTTCCTTTCTTTCACTGTTAAAATAATTTAGAACTGTATCATGGGGGTCGATATTAAATGCAACATATGTTTTTAGGCCTTAAAAACTTAAACGATTGCCAATAAATCCACTACTTGGAACCTCACACACAGTAGGCTTGAAGAACACAGTTTCCATTTGGCCCGATTCAATAACTAACATTAGGCACTTACCACATGCAAGGCACTGTGGGTAATTTCAATGCAGGTCAGGGACCAGCACTACCTATACCGGTATCTCAAGCTCTCAAAGTTTTTTTTGTTTGTTTGTTTGTTTTTTTTTTAAAGCGAGTTTCAGATTATAAATCTGGGACTGAACAACAGCCAGGTACCAAATGCTTACTGATTATTCAGAGGCTATTAAGTGGGAACCAGAGCAGGAAACAAATCCCCTGCAAAGGACTGAAATGATATAGCAAGAGGAAAACAGTCCGACACCTGCGCGTATAATGGGACATTTAAAACAGAGCAGGAACTCTCTTGATGGGGGGGGGGGGATGTGCTTCTGTATGTATGTTTCTCTTATTGGTTGATGAGTAAAACACTGATTGTCCAGTAGCCAAGCAGGAAGTACAGGCGTGGCTATCAGACAAGGAGAATGCTGGGGAGAGGAAGCAGAGAGGGGCCCCAGGGAGAAGCCATATAGCGGAGGAAGGAGAGACAGGTCCCGGGTTCTTCTCCAGCAAGATAAGACTACGTGGAAATACTTAGATTAATAGAAATAGAGAGCTAGCCAATAAGAAGCCCCAGCCATCGGCTAACCAGTTTAAAAATTAATGTAAGTCTTTGTGTGTTTATTGGGGGCCGATGGGCTGCAGGATCAGGAGGAAAAGTAAACTCCAGCTACACTATCTAGTTTACGTTAAACGGCATTGAGAAAACAATGAGTATCTTGACACTGGCTTGAAGCTGAGGTCCTTGTGCACAACCTAGCTAAAAAGAGAAACACACATACCCGTGACCATGTGGTGCCCATGTGTGTAGTGCCCTGTCTTCCAGTCTATCATGGCTGAATTCACATGCTGAGAAGATTTCCAGGTCAAGACAGCAAATATATCCCTTGCTTACTATGGTCACCTGGGCACAGCAAAAAATCATGCTGGGTCTCTACCCAGACACTCAAATTACTAACCTAAATAGTGCCAGCTCCCCCTTTCTACGCCTCAGTTTCTCCCACCTGAGAAAACATGGAAGCAATGCCCTCTATCTAAGTCCTTAGCAGGAGGACAATGTGTAGACTGGAGTTCCGCACAGTGAGCAACTATACAAACAGAATGGACAGTTAGTGCTGCCCATGCAGGAAAGTAAATGTAAAGGGAATATCACATCTACAAAGTTAAACTGCTACTAAAGTTCATTTACCAAAGACAGTGGTTGCTCAGCAAAGCAAAGGTAAAGGCTTGAAGTAAGTCGCTTTCTCTAAGACTGTTAACTATAAAACACGAGTGGACAGAGGGAAAGAAAAACGGACACGCAAGCAGTCACAGCTTTCATGGACCTGTCTTCATTTTGGGGGTTGATGGGAGATGTCATTCTGTAAATATGTTTCTCTTACTGGTTAATGAATAAAGCACTGTTGGCCAATAGGAAAGCAAGATAGGCGGGACTAGGAGACAAGGAGGAAAGAGGAAGTGGTAAGGAGGAGCCAAGATGGAAGACTGAGAGAGCAAAATGCCGGCGGGCTCTCTCTCTCTCTGGTAAGATGAGACCGCATAGAGATTAATAGAAATGGGTTAATAATTAAGACAGAGCTAGCCGATAAGAAACTAGTAACTGGCCAACAGCATTATATCTATACAGAGTCTCTGTGTTATTTGGGGCTGGCGCAGCGGCGGGACAAGACCAGCGGTTGGTGGAAAAAACCTTACTCCTTACAGGGGGTCACAGCAAGGTGTGATGAAATCGTTAGCTGAAATTCTGAAACCGCTGCTTTCCTCGATATAGAGCGTAGAACTGAGATTCGGGATCCACTCACACATTCCAGGCAATTCCAATCAAATGAGCTAAGACAGCTGTCAGTATGGCAAAACGTTCTGTGTACTAACAGGAGACTCCTACCCTAACACTTTGGTCCAACTTCAGCAAAAAGGAATTCTCTTCTACTGCTCAAATGAACATGAAATCTAAAAAGCTAACATTCCCGGTGCCTACTCTGTATTGATCCCTGTGCTATGGTGTCCTCATTCATGACACTCCCACAAGAAACCTAGCAGGCAGGCATTATTCCTTACCAAAAAAAAAAAAAAAAAAAAAAAAAAAAAAAAAACAAACAAACAAACAAAAAAAAAAACCAAAAAACCAAAACAAAACAAAACAAAAAAAAAAAAAACACTGAGGGTTTGCACAGCGGGGTAAGTAAAAAAAAAAAAAAAAAACTCAGACTTAAGCAAAAACACAAGTGAGATAAATCCCCTCTAGGTCTCTCCAACAGAAACACTGCCAATTTTAAAAGCACACATACATCTATGCTTATCTAATGTGGCAAGAGGCGTCACCAAGCAGAGAACTCAGGGTGACAGGCGTGTGTGCTGGTACTTTAGACCTCCAAGCCCATTCACAGGTATGGCCACCTTCAGCTTGAAGGAGGCCAGCTCCCATCACCAGTGTGGATTCCGTAAGGCGTGCTCTGAAAGGTTATGATGGGAGCTATATGCAGGCCCCCGTCTGGAGATGAGACATCTCCCAGCCTCTTCAAAGTGAGGTGACAAGCTGGAGGGTGGGTACCACTTCAAATAAATCTGTCTATCGATACTGCTTGGTTCTTATGATTTCCTCAGAACATAATTTCTTTTGGCTGAGTATAAGGAATCAAAACAAACTCACTGAAATAATTTTTTTTTAAATGCCAAATATCTGATGATGGCTAACACCGGTTTCCACTCCACGGTTAACGTTCTCACTCTGCTGGAGGACTTAAATCTGCCAGTGCAGTGTTCTGAGGAGGACTCTGGTGGGCAAGGTACCTTAGCATTGAGGGGACACACAGACAGGGCACTCCGGAAGAGGCGGTCTTCGCTCCGCCACTCGCCGCTGCGGATCACACATCTCAGCGCGTTGATGAGTAGAATTCCCAGGACAACGGCAGCAACCGCTTTCTGAACAGAGTTGGGAGGTGTCATTAGTAAGCCACGTGTGGCGGTTACGGTTCTTGGTGGCAGCATGCTGGGTTAGTATATTTTTCTTTTCTTTTTCAAGTTTCTTTTTTTTTTTTTTCATTTTTTGTTGTGTATGCATGTGTGGTGCATACACTTGGGTACACAGGCATGAGCGGATATCCGCCTGTGCCCACGTAGATGCCATGCCACAAGAAGATATATCACGTGTCTTCCTTCATTACTCTTCACCTTACTTCTTCAAGACAGGGTCATTCAGTGAGCCTGAAGCTGGCTATTTCTGCTAGGCTGGCTGGACAGTGAGTTCCCAGGCTCTGCCTGTCTGGGAGCTCTCAAGTTTGGGGTTACAGGCATGCAAAGCCATGGCAAGCATTTTACATCAGTGCTATGAGTCGAAACCCCTTACCCACTGAATCATCTCCCCAGCCAGCCCCACGGTACCTTCTTCTTTGTGTATCTGCTTAGGGTTCCAAACCCAAAGGTCAGCAGCATGCAGTAGCCAGCGCTTGGGAGGTACAGGACGCGCTCTGCGACCACGAAGCCCACCCGGAAAAACAAGTTGCTTGCAGGAAGGAAGGGAATCACAAGAAATCCCAGACCTAGAGTAAGGATTCTGGAAGACGAAAAGTATTCATATAAACGGCTAGTTTAGACTTTTCAAGAAAAGCTCCTTACTCCACATAATTAACAATAAAGACTGTTCTTTGTTTCCTGCCGTCAGTTTAGAAAAGATAATAGCAACGAAAAAGGCATCAGAAGAGGGAGTTAGACAGCGCAGCGAGCAAGGTACTCAGCCGCCAGTACATGGGAACAACATCCAAATCATATGTTTGCATCGAGTCAGAAAAGATTACATTTAATTCATTCTTTGATTAGTGAACACTGGTCTCCAATAAAAGCCATGTAGTATTTAATGTGACGCCCCCACTCCCCGCCACCAACCAGAACAATAGACAAATAGATTAAACTTTGTAAAGTTTGAAAGAAACAAGTATCATTTTTTTTGTTACTATGTCACAATCAGCAAGGCACAAACACAGTATTCTGTGAAACATACCTAGCATCTGCAGACTATTCTCTACATCTCCCTGTCTTATATATGCAAAGGTGCAAATGAAGAAACAGGGTCACATTTGGTGGCACTTTCTGGGACCCTGTGCCTTACAGTATTTTGTTTTAAATTCTATTTCACATGTACAATGGAACCTGTTGGGACCCAAAGTTTGTTGTTCTTTAGCATCGTCAACCTATTTAAGCACACAAGTAAGCAGGAAACATTCGTTTACTTTGAGAAATTGCTCACTTAATGTCGTGCATTTAGGCTTTGTGGAAATCATCTTAAACAGTTTTTATTTTGAAGGGACATGTTTGTTTTCTCCAATTATTTCCTCAACAACCCTTTGCAAAGGATCTTTTTATCTGCTGAAAAAAGTCTGGTATCTCTTTGGGGGCAGCAACCTATTTTGTGCCCGACAACAAACAGAAAGGATCGACACAGAATTTGCAAGGGCTTCTTGGAAGGAGAGCTGTGAAATAATGGACCCAAACAAACACATCAATTACACTCTCTGTTCTGACCATAAATTACACTTTGCCTCCTACAGCGATATCTCCAAGTGCTACTTTACTTAGGGGGAGGGGGGCACATGGCAGTCGTGTCTACCTCTCCTCCAACTTCCCTCCTACCAGTTGAAGCCAGCCACAGAGTCCCACCTTGTTGTAGCCATATATTCAGAACAAATGTCCTTAGACAGACATCCTATGCACAGAGCTGTCAAAAAGTGATGGGCACTGGATTTAGCAAAATGCTAAATGGGTAGAAGTTAAATTTCCATGCTGCCTCTTACCTTCTCTTGCAGCCATCTTCAGAGCACAGGGCTTGGAATATTAGGCCAATTAGGCAGAGCCAAAGTGCCGCTAGAGCAATTACCCTCCAGTCACCAACTGACTTAATGAGGGGGATACAGCCCATTGACCAATCAAAACACAGCCACCAGGGACACAGTAGCAGCCAGGCATTCAGCGAATAGTAGTAATTATAGTTTATGGCCTGTCAGTCAAAAGAAAAACAAACACTTACTTGATCCTGAACTGGAAAGAACACACGTATCCCTAACTTTCACTTCCGAGGCATTCACAAGCTCCCTGTTCTAGGGAGCAGTTGTGTAAAAATGAAATGCTGCCCATTTGTATTCTGAGCATAGGAGTGTAACCTGTAATTTATTAAAATGCATCCACATTTTAATACTTTAAAAATGCGGCCAAGCCACTGGGCCAGGCAATGCAGGTGTCGTATTTCCAACCAGGCTATGGATCATCTACATAGTTATCACCTACTGCCTCTGACACAAGCCAATGTGAGGCCGGCCCAGGTGTCAATAGTGTGCCTAACAATTTAAAAGTGGAGCTCAGCCCTGAGTATTTTCTTGGTTTCTCTCTGTAAAGTGCACAGCTAGGAGTCTGGCTTGAGATGGCCAGGAAAACAGGAGAACCTAAGTGAATAACCTTGATACTGTCGGACTACTGCAATAGCATCGTGTTATTACATTGTGTCCTATCTTAGCTGTGCGAGTTTCCCTGCAGCAATGGAAGTGAGGTCAGAAAGCATGAGTAAGACGGGCATCATCACAGAAGAGGCCGCCTTTCCTTCTTTTCATGAAAGCAAATCATCGTTGGTCCTCTCTGCTCTGTGGGCCTAAATCCACAGATTCCACAAACCTAGAACTGAACCACACACTGAAATATTTGGAAGAAAAGCCAAGGGTTAAATTTGCTGAGCAGTGGGTGCTTCCCTGAACCACATAAGAACAGAGAGCAGGCATTGTGTCAGCTACTGTGTAGAAGCTGTGTAGAGCATAGGGGTTATATGTAAACATCCATACCCTATCAAAGATTGTAGGTTATTTGCAAACATTCTTACCTTATCAAAGAGACTCTAGCACCCTGGTTTTTTAAAATTGTGGGGGGCTCTTGACACTAATTCCCCACGGACACCCAGAGATATCTATATAAAGACCCAACACACATCCTTCCCAACAGCATAATAAAAAGTTGACTTTATGTTGTTAAAACAGGATATATCCACTTGTTAGGGACTTGGTAATGTGGCGTAGGGCAGGGATGAAGACGTGGGAAGGATGAAGAATCTACAGCAGTGGTACTCAACCTTCCTAACTCTGCAACCCTTTAATACAGTTCCCCATGTTGTTGTGATCCATAAAATTATTTTCATTGCTAATTCATAACTGTAATTTTGCTACTACTATGAATCATAATGTAAATATCTGATATGCAGGATACCTGATATGTGATCCCTGTGAAAAAGGGTTGTTCCACCCCCAAAGGTGGTTGAGTACCACTGGTCTACAGATGATAGGAAAAGAAAATAATTGAAAAGAAGTCCAGGTTCAGTACTTACCCTAACCAACATGCTGTCCGCAAAGGAGGCTGGATTGTCCACCTCAGTGAATGCCGGTGGACCTGTGCCCATGATTTTCCAGCGTGCATAGAGCATGCTGGTCCCTCCGAGAGTGAGCAGGGTCATTCGGAAGAGCAGGCCTCCATTCCTGAGCACACCAATGTTCTGAAAGGACATCGCAAAGCTCCTGCTGTTGAAGACTTCCAACTAAAGCAGAGTTGGAAGTGTAGTTCTAAGTATTTAGGAGGCTGAGACAGGAGTGTGGCCACCTTGGTCAATATGGTCTGCCTGGAGGCTATACAGAGTTCAAGTCTAGCCTGGCAACTTAGTAAATAAAAACTTAGTAAAATAAAAAGTTGGGGGGGGGGAGAAGGGGGCTGGAGATATAGGCTAACCATAGGGCATTTGCCTAGAATGATGCAGGCCCTGAGTTTAATACCCAACATTGCAAAATTAGATATACCAGCCCCAAGTATGATTATTCTACCTAAACTATTTGACATGGATCATTAAAAAGCTGCCTACTTTCGTATTCAAATCACATGAAATACTTGGAAAACAGCATTTTAAATTGGCTAGTACTTGACATTTTCCATGTCTGGGCTCGAGATGAAAGCATGTAACTCACCTCTAATGATTTGTCCTTACGTAGTACCTTCTGGATAGTTTCCAGAACGTTGAATTTTCCTATCACCAGGATATCAAACACAGCATTCAAGCCCTAAGAATCAAAGTCTCAGTTAGTCCAGAGAGCCTGGCTCTGATGGGGCAGAAATTACAGTCACATTTTCATTATTTAACCCAGACAAGATCTCTGATGATGACCACGGACAAACTCCCAGGTTTCTAAGAAGGACAGCCGCATGTCTGGATGAACCTAACCCATGGTGTGGACTCCACCAATGACAATCTAGTGAGACCCTGGCAGTAATGATCCCACGACCTACATTTAGGAGCCGGGCTCCCATGAGAAGTTCCCCAGAAGTCTTTGTTCCCTCCCTCCTTGTCTATAACTGTATGAGTGGTCAGCTGGGCAACAATTAAATATAAGAAGAGAATATTAGCCATCAATCAGTCTTGTCAACCCAGCCTTGTACATAAACTCCACCTGGCTGACTGAGGCCCAGTGAACAGGACACACATATCGCTCTCTGAAGGAGAGTTCCAATTGTCCACTAGTGTTTTCTGCTCCTTGGGCACAGAGCCGGATTACATCCCCAAGTTTGCCCTACAGAGGAGAGATCCAAAGAACAGGTCAGGTCATGTGGGTGGTGTACGGAGTCAGGAAGAAGCGACCTGTTCTTCTGGGGCTTTAGTTTAAAAGCTGTTACACAGCTGCTAGAGCAACTCTGGACCCTGAATACGGAAGATGCTAATGTGTGCACAAGCAAGCCTCCTTTGACACTGTGCAGAAACAATCACCGTTGTCAGGCAGACAACAAATGACGTGTGTGAAACCACTGGGTGGCTCCCACTGACCCAACTATACCAAAAGCTCCCACGGCACCATGATGGCCAGGCTGTTTTGACAGCTATTCAAAGTATACTCATGCCTTGGGTCTAGTCTTTACTCTGTAGATGACTTCGAAAGGCAGTATCGTCTGCTGGAATCCCCTGCCCAATCTGCATAATGGGGTCAGAATATCCACAGTGTGTCTGGTGAAAGCTGCCCTTGCATGACTGGGCTCTTTTTAATATGGGGTTTTGTGGCAAAGAAGACCAGAAATCATCAGAAGCCAGTGGTAATTTGTGGTTTTCAGAGCAAGGATGACACTGCTGCTTAACCCTCTTCCACAAATGCTGGAAGTCACTAATTATCCAATCCACAGGCCACTGCTGGGTTAAACGATTCAAAGAATACTGATTTTGTTCACTCACGTGACTCACGGTCATCATGGGTCACGGAAGACCATCGCTGCTTGACTATAAACTGTCTTCCAGAAGACGGGAGCTCCCTGTCTACTGCTGCTACTACTTTCTCACTTCTTTGTTTGAAGCTGTGGGGCTGCCACAGCCACAGAGTCATGTGGCCAGGAGGGCTGAGCCAAACATAAGAGTGACACTTACTTCTCCATCCAAGTTAGAGGCGGCAACATCAAAATGCTCATAGTTTATTCACACCCAAACTGACCTTCAGCGCTTCTAAGGTGCTAGTAAATTCCGGAGCAACCTACAGACCCAGCTAAGTGGGATTTCTACTCGCAGGTCTGAGGAGGGGCCAGAGATCATTAAGTAACCAGCTCTGGGATGCTGCTGTTGCTATGGACGCCACACTTGACATTAGTATCAGGTTTCACTAGGATGCCTCTGTCACAGGAGTGCCTAACAACCTCCACAGGCATTTTAACAACTAAGGGATTCTTACTGGCTTCTGCTGGCTACAGGTGAGAATGATAGCAAATGCCTTCCAATGCGTAGGATTGACCAGCCACAAGAATCAGCCCGCTTATTAAAATAACCACAGAGATAAGGTTAAAGAAAAACAACTGAAGGCAGGAACTCATGCTATAGCCCAGGCTGATTTGGAACTTAAGTCTGTAGCCCAGACATGCAACCATCCCAACCCAGTCTCCTGAGGACTGGACTGACTCAGGAGACTTAAGTATGTTAAAACAAAAACAAAAACAAAACTGCCAGGTGGTGGTGGCACAAGCCTTTAATTCCAGCACCCCGGACCTCTGAGTTCAAGGCCAGCTCGGTCTACAGAGCAAGTTCCAGGATAGCCAAGGCTGCACAGAGAAACTCAATCTCAAAACAACAACAACAAAAACCAAACCAAACCAAAAACACCCCCCCACACACACATAAAAACAACAAGACTATTCACCTTATTTGCTTATTTTATGTGTATGCGTATTTGCCTACATGTGTGTATGATGTACCACACGCTTGCCTGGTGCACACAGAGGTCCCCTTGGAACCAAAGCAGGCTGTTGTGAGGTGCCAGACACACATGCTAGGAAGGAAGTACTTTTAATCACAGAGCCACCTCTAGCTCGAGCCTTAAGTATCGCTACACAGTAATTCTTCATCATATCCTCGCTTGTCTTACAGACAGAGCTCAGTTTTAAAAAACCCACTTGTCATTACTGTGGCTGGTGTCAGACCTCATTTTCTGACTGCCCTTTATCTCCCAATATATTCCTGTGCAGCCGGCTACTCAACGACCATCTTTTTCGTTTCATTCCTTGGCTCATATACCCTTCGTTTCTAAGCGATCCTGTAACGAGATAAGGCCAAGAAGGGCTACATGGGAGGCGGGGGGAGTGGGGTTTTTAATGTGTCTCCGTTCCTCGGACTTAATCCCAGCTTCTATTCATATGAGGCCTAGAAGTGGGATGCCCACGTGCTCAGGCAGCCCTGTCCTGCTTGCTAAGCGTCGACAGTTGAGGCTGGTCACAGAATAACATGCTCAACACAGCGCACTAGTATCCTTAGGAAGCGTCATGTAATGACTGCTTCTCTCTCCAACAGGCTCACTGAGAATTTTCTCTGCGGGCATGCCTTTTCTGGTATTTTGCTAAATAGAATGTACCCCGCAACTTAAAAATGGTGAAGATGATACAAATAGTGAATATACACACAGAGAGGCCAATTCTCAGAACTGTAAAACGTGTAACAAGGCACATCCTGCGCAGAAGGAGCCTTCTAAGAAGTTTATTTGGGGATGGATGAGCATGCAGCCCATGGTGTATGTGTGAGGCTGGAGGACAACTTGTAAAAGTCAGTCCTCTCCTTCTGCCACGTGGTCCCCCTGTATCAAACTCAAGACCACCAGGCTGGGCACCTTTACCCACTGCGCTGTCTTACTCACTCTACACAGCTCTTCAAATACTAACTAGGCAAAGGCTTCTTAAACTGTGGGTCATGATCCCAGGCAAGGCTGCATAATTAACCGCAAACAAACAAACAAACAAAAAATTGGCAATGTCAAAAAGTTTCTGGATACACAAGCAAAAATTAATTCAAAATCAAAACACATAACGAATCCAATTTGTTTGTGGAAGCCTCAACCAGCATCCATTCATTGTGCAACTTCACAGAAGCCTGGGTTCTGAACACACAAATGCATTCCTATTCTCAGTGATGTGCACTCCATCGCATCATACAAAGACCGTGGCTCAGATTCTAGACTGCTGCATGACATGGATTATAGTCTCTTTACACACCAAGGTCTTTGCTCTTACAGAAACATAATGGTGTAGTTAGAGAAAATAAACACTCTTAATCTTCTCCTACCGTCATTCGAAAGCATTAAAGCATCATATTAGTGTTTCGTTAGGTTGGATTTTGCTAGACCAATACATCCACCTCATAGATGGTAAAACTGTGATATAGCAAGTAATTGCTTTAAAAATAATTTATCACTCACCATCAGTAAATGTTTGATGTGTAAGCTTGCTTACGTACCTATATTATATACCCGGGGTTGTGTAAAAACGTCCCTCATGGAAACGGGCTTTGGATGCTCAGTGTTAAAGAAACTGGGGACCCAGAATTCAGTTTGATGGTGCAGGGTTTGCCTTTGCCAAGCAGGTGTAAGGTATGGGTTTGTTTGCTGGAACATGAAAGCAAACAAAGCCCTGAAATGGGCCTAATCAGGTCAAGGTGTCTCAAGTGTTGACTCAAGTCTCACTTTTGGGTGAGGAGAGCCAAGGGTGCCTAGAAGGTTTTGGAGGCTGGCCAAGTTCCTTGTTGTATATGGGACTGCTAAGTATAAGAGTGTCCCAGGTAGCTCAAACCATTCCTTTATCTTTTTCTAAGGGACCACTCTATAAGGAGTGAGTGAAGTCCCCCTCCCTAAGAACTTACCACAGATCAGTTCCCACCATTCATTAGTCACCGTAACCAGTCAGTTTCCCATCTGAAACACTAGCATTGGGCCAGCCAAAATCATTAGCCCAGAAACGAGAAAAAGCTCAGGCTGGTGATCACACCCGAGCATAAGAGGACACAGGAATGGGATGGCCCACGGTGTCTCTCTTGGAGGGAATGGATGTGTACAAAAGACAGGCCCTTTTGTGGCCGAGCTCTTACCAGCACAGTGATTCCTTGCTCTTTGCACAGCATGGCTACTGCTCCCAGAAAGATACTCAGCAACACCCAGAAGGTGGAAGAATGTGTTTTCTCCTTGTTACCTGCCAGTAACAGAAACATGTAAGTTATGTAATGATATGTTCCATCTTGCCAGCTCTGGGAAGTAAAATCCCAAGCATGCACCTCACAGAGTTCCTAATCTGAGCGGGCGCTGTGGGCTGCTACACTCTTACTGGACAACACTCTTTAAACAGAACACGTGTCTCATCTTGATGCACCGAGAAGCATTTTACATTAGATTTGGCCACAGAGATGCCACAGCCCCGAGTTTCAAAGGAGCAAGTTTCTTCTTCCCGACTTGGTCACCACTACAGGACCGTTCTAACAAGTGGCACAAAGACTCTGACCCTGCAGGCAATCTACGATTGCAGAATGACTCCAGTGGTCTCCACAGCTGTCACAAAAAAAGGATCTCGGAATGCCCACACATCTCCCAGTCTCTTATGCCAGGGATAAGGACTGGGCTCTGTACACCAGAGGGCTTAGGCTGGGTCTTCTGCTCTCTGTGTGCAATGGCTCTGACTCTATCATCGAAGGGGGCATGGCTACTGATTTCCGAGTACTCTGGACCAGTAAAAGTCATGGGTTTGTTTGGGCTCCAACCCTTATGGGGGCTAAGCATTCAAGAACAAGTCAAAAGATCACTCAGCATGGAAATGATGAAAAACCCAGAGGTCAGAGGCGGCAGCCAATGGCCCCCATGCTATTTTCTGAGGCTGCAGGCGGTCAATAGAAAATCTTAGTGGCCAGAGCTGAGCAGCCGGAAGGAGACAGAGTATTACAGGTAGGCCTCACCCCTGCCCCCTTTTCCAAGTTCTTCGTCTTCATCTAAGTGAACAAACACTGTATTTTCTTGGGAGAACCAATCATTAGCATGTCTGGGTACTACTACAAGGACATTACATCTAATGTCTGCTCTGCCATCCATTACTAACACACAGCATCTAAGGAGTTACTCCTATTTACGCCCCTCTTCTATAGGATGGGGTGATGAACCTATCTCAGGAAACGAGAAAGAAAACCTATAGTGGAATGACTTGCCACTATGTTATAAACTTCATGAAAGCAAAAACACACCTCTAGAAACACATAAAGACAACTGACTAATTAGTAAGTAAAGAAAAAAATAGAGTTGGGGAGGAAGTTGCATTTTTCACTGTAGAACCAAGTTCTTAGCCATATGAACATATAAAATCCAGGTCAAACATGAAGCACTTTTTAAAAACTCACTTGATATAGTGTGGAAACCACAGCAGCAACTAACAAATGCTGCATGCAAACTTCCTCAGGTCAGAGGGATGGATTTTTCTATGGGGCTTCAATGCAGCAGTCAAAGGGAGTGGCTGGTGAATTATCCTGGGACACAATGTGTGAGTACTGCAGTGCAGTTTCTAAAGTACACCACAGTTCTCATTAAACTGCTCACTCCAGAAGCCAGCAATAATTGTGTGTGTGTGTGTGTGTGTGTGTGTGTGTGTGTGTGTGTGCACATGTCATGTGCATACCTCGACTGGATATGAGTCTTGTGGTTTATTAAGGACTGATTGGCAAAGCCCCAGGATGGAAGTCTTTCATGTCCTGCCAATAATCACCGGGACCTGGTGTGCACCAGAGGTGAACTCCACTTCATGCCCTCTGCTTGTGGGCTAAGATACCTTTCAAGGTGATGAAGCCTGTAGCTAGCTGAACCCCTTGGAAGCTCACAAATGCATGAGCAGCACCATTTTCTGCCAGGACTGACACCTGCTGTTGCCTTCAGGCTAAGGGTAACCCTTGTGAGTACTGCTTTCATTACTGGCCTTGCTACTGTGACCACCTGGCACCCTCTAACTTCCCTAGTCTACAGTCAATCCCAGGCATAGCAGCCAACACAACAGATTCCCACTTTGCTTTGCTTGTCCCATTCCCCTGGGCTAGTATGCCTCTGGCAATATCCTACCCTTCTGATGGAGCTGTCAAATGTCAATTAAGCTGTGAAGCCACACCCCCCACTCTCTCTGTAGTCTCCCTTCCCAATTCACTTGCTTTACGGCAGTTACAACAGCAAGTGGCCTGCCAGCCTGATTGCCCGTGGGTAGGTGTCTCTAACTGACATTCCAGATTAAGTTAGAAGGAACCATAGCCTATAAACTGCATAACCATAGCCCACAATCCATCAGGACATTCTTCAGATATCATAAAGACTGAATTTTCTGTTATTGCCCTAAATGAGAGTTCCTCATAATTAGACGGTTGGTTGATGCTTTGCTGTGTGGATAATGCTGTCTATCGCAGGAAATTATTAGACAATAGGAACATCTCTAACCAACTGTGTTACAGATATTGCCAAATGACTTTGGTGGGTGGAACCATGCCTACTGGGAAACCATTAGCCTAAACCAGTGCTACTCGGGTTGAGGGTCTGGAGCCTGAGCTTAGATATTGCTGAAAATGTAGAATTACAACCCACTCAGGCCTGTGGAGCAAGGAATCCTAGGAATGGCAACTAGCAAACCCAGGCCCTTTCAACATGCCCCCCCCAGATCTTTGGACACTCTACAGACCCACATCATCACCCTCGGCAGCAACTGTGCATTCAGCTACATTGCCGGCACCCTGCCTGGCTTTGAGGAGCTAACTGTACTGACCCAGCAGCAGCAGCAGCAGCACCCAGCTGACTCTGAGTGGCAACACATGCTGGATGGATGGAGGACCCTTCTAGGATGCTTCCAGCAGGGGGCCACCTGGCCTAGACTTGCCTTAACTTGAGCACAGGCATGAGCATCTCATAACAGCCCATTTCACTTAAGCTCTGGTCCATTAGGAAGATTATTCTTTATGCTGAGCACAAGCTTGCCTTTCTGAATTTCACGGCTTAAGCTCCAGGCCATTAGGGTGGCGGAGGGCCTAGAAGCCAAACGTTTCTTCGGTCATAACCATTACATATTTATCTAGTTCTACCGAACAAATGAAGGACGGTTTTTACTTACACACATGACTTACATGTATGTAATACCAAAACACCACAATTAGAACCACCGCCATTACCAAAAGCTATTTATTACACTAAGCAGGATTCCGATTTGAGGCTTTGTATGTCCCAGGGCCAGCATGAGGGGCTTCAGCCAGGCCTCATTCCATTGTAATTGTGTCTACTGCTCGCTAAGCCTGTCCTATACAGTTATAACTGTCAGTACATTTATCATGATGTTATTAAAACTCCAAGTAAAGAACTTGCAAATGGAAGCATTATACAATGAGATTAGCCAGAAATGAAGTCTGTGTGTCTCGATGAACTCACACAGTTAGTATAGCCATCCTGAAACTGTGGACTCTCTGCCTTTCACCACCAATTCTATCTCATTTACATCTTTATGGACTTGATTTACAAAGCACTGTCACCTAATGCGTCTCACCGAAACATAACATGATTTTTCCAAATTCTCAAGTTTAAAAGCCCATCCCCAGATCAGTTTACATATCTTCCTAGACAAATGGAGTTAACTTCGTGTTTTACTTAAATATAACATGATGAAGATGAATGTGTTCCCCCCTCAATGGGGGTATAACAGGAAGCAAAGCACACTAAAACATGCAAAGGATGACCCTTGAAGACACCTTGCTAAGACAACGCTAAATACTACGAGCTTGTGAAAATGAAGGACTCATGTCCCATCCATTAATCTCGAATTCAAAACAGCCCTCTTTGTGGATGGCTAACATAGACTTAATGGAATGCATAAAAACAAGACAGAAAACAGGCTGTGGCTTTATCAAGTTTTTTCCCCCTAGGGTTTGTATTCCACCCCTCATGCCCTGTGCTGGTTGGCTTTTGTCGAGTTGGCACAAACCTGACGTATCTGGGAAGAGGGAATCTTATTAGAGAGAATGCCTCCATCAGATAGGTCTGAAGGCAAGTGTGACCTGTATTGTCCTGATGAATGATTCAGAGTAGGAGGCCCGGCTCGTTGTAAGTAGGTCATCCCTGGACTGGTCATAGGTTGTACAACAAAGCAGGCTGAGTAACACAGGATGCGTAAGCCCCTAAGCGGTACATTTTCCTGCCTCTGCATCGGCTCCTGCTTCCGGGTTCCAGTCACGAGTTCCTGCCCTGACAAGGATGGACTGTGATGTGGAAGTGTAAACTGAAATAAACCCTTTCCTCTCCAACTTGTTCCTGCCATCCTTGACCACAGCACCAGAAAGCCCTGAAATGTCCCCAGCTCCGACTTCCTTCACGGCATCCTCCCTTCCGCTTCTGAAGTAACACACCCAGATAAAAACCTATGCGGCGAAGACACAGCTTCTCTGCTTGTCTCTGCAGCATCGGTAACCATTTCCAGTGGAAATTTCAGATCAAAGGCAACACTTCAATGGTCAGTCATTAACCTAGACATTTTCACTGTCAGAGAGGCAACTCCAGACCTGCTACTATCTAGAAGCAAGTCATTAAAGCTAACAAGCACTTGAGATTTGCCTCGTCCCAGCTGAGACTCTGTAGACTGTATGAAAAATTTAATGTAAAAATACTTCCCATTGTATACTGATTCTATATAAAATTGTATTTTTGACAGACTAAAATTTGTCTCGCTATTTTTTTAATATTTATTTATTTTGAGACAGGGATTTATATGCCAGCCTGGCCTCAAACTCACTATGTAGTAGAGGACAATCCTGAATTTCTGATATTCCTGCTTCTACCTCTCGAGTGCTGAGATTACAGATCTGGTTCATGAGGATCAGGGGACTGGACTCAGGGCTCTGTGCACACACACACAAAATGGTAAGCAAATAAACCTCTCAAATTGTATCACGGAAGTCAAAAGGGTCTTCTTTACAAACACGGAGTATGTCTGTGCATATAAACCAAGGTCAGTCAACCTACACAGCATTAGCAAATGCTTCCATTTACCCACCAGGAGTGGGGAAAAACTTAAACTGGGAGACTGCTTGTGAGTTCTGGGACAACCCTGTCAAGGGTGGTTTAATCTGTGCAATTCCCCTAAATTAAGATTTAAAAAGAAAAAAAAAATTACTTTTACTTTTAATCTTGGTTTGTCAA